CCTAGGAGATCCACCAACGGCTTCAAGAAGCCGGCTTCGATGATAGGGGATTCGTTAAGAGGATGAATAGAAATGTTGCGAATGCAAGCGACGGCGGATAAGATGAGAGGAAGGTAGGAGGACTGTAGAAGTCGGAGTAGTGGAGAAAGACCCTTTGCTCGAACAATTTCAAGCTGGTACTTCTCATCAGAGGCGAGGTTGCGCAGGGCGAGCGCCGCCTGGCATTGGACTTTCGGGGTGGAAGAATCCATTAGATGAACCAATGATTGGACGAGGCGCGACTCAGTTTGGGCCAGTCGCTTGCGATTCGTCGAGTCAACGGCAATATTGCTAAGAGCTGTTGTGCAGTAGTACTGAACGTCGACATCGGGGGATGAGAGGAGATGCACGAGTACAGGGATGGCGCCGGCATTGACAAGTTGCTGTCGGTTGTCATCTGGTCTTCATGTTAGAGAAACAGCGCTTCTGGGGATAAATCGATCGAAGTCGCTTACCAGAATGGGTCATATTAAGCAGCGCACCCGTCGCATTTCGCTGGACCCGCATATCCTTCGACTTGGCCAGGCGAATGAGCGGACCTAGAGCACCCGAGCGAGCAATTTTGGCCTTGTTCTCCTCATGCGTCGCGAGATTGGTAATACACCCAACTGCATTGCACTGTACCTCAACATTGGGCGACATCATCTGACGAATCAGGGGAGCCAGCCCCCCGAGGGTGACGATCAAGACCTTGTTTTCGGCTGTATGGAGTCAGCGACCGTGGGGGAACGAAGACGATGGGAACCAACCATTTACGGCGAGATTCCCCAGCGCTGCACTAGCAGCCCGTTGGACTTCGATATCTGAACTTTGAAGTAGGAAAAGGATAGGTTCGAGGGTGTCGCGATCGACCTCGCGCACATCTGCAGATAGGACGAAAGGTTAGGTATTGCATCATCGTCATCCAAGTGACAAAACGCACCTCGCTCTGTGATCTCAGCAAATGTCAAGCTAGCGCTTCTTTGCAGGTCGACGTTTTCGGAGTAAACCAGTGTACTCAAAGCTCGTAGTGGTTCGCCGTGGAAGAAGTCGGTCTCCGCGCGCTGTACATAGTTGGGAAGTTAGCGGTATGCACGGAGTAGAACGGTAACCCTCGGCAAACCAAATCCCTGCCTCTGATTCGGGGGGATACAGGTAGAGAGGTAGAAGGATGAATTGTGTAGCACGTACGTTCTCCAAGTAGCCTAGAAGATCTGATACCGCTTCTCGCTCATTATCTGCCAGGGTGGTTTCGTAGATACCGTCTCGAGATCGAGCTCCGATGGGACCGAGACATGCTGTAATATGACACCATCGGTCTACTGCTGAAAAGCAAGACAGACAGGCATTCGCAATTCCAGTCATTCTGGCTAGGCCCGCATCGGGCGCGGTATGGAGTCGGAGATAGAGGCGAAAGGTAAGCAGTCGATGACGGTGAGATTAAAGGAGTCGAATAAAACCAAAGCTGAGGGAAACACAAAGAACAACTGGCGCGTGATAGGAAAGAAAAAAAGGTACTGGAGGGCAGCCTCCTGATGTTTGAAGGAAGGAAGTTCCAGCTTAAGGGAGGGGGAGAGAGATCGAACTAGTCTCCTCAGGCAGAAACTTGAGATTAAATTGCTATCTGTTACAATTGTGATCTCAATAGAATTCCAAGGTGGTTCTTTTTGAGATTCATCTTCAAGTTCTTGATCTTTTAAGGGTTTGAAATTCAAGATTCTCCATTTTAAGCAGCTCCAACGCATACATTATCCGGGGGAGCTCTAAAGGCTGACCAATCCGGAATAGGAGCCCTGGAGATCAACTGCATCTACCATCACCGGTTATACAACTGATAGAGATCTCTAAGTATACTCATCTCTAGCTCTCCTTGTCCTCTGTCCGGAGAGTCTGAAAGATCTTTCACCATATCACTATGGAAGTTCAACCTCTTTTATCTTTCCCGTCAAAGAACTTCCAGCCTCCTTTCGAGGGTCCGTGCAACAAAGGCATCTTTGCTCTCGTGATTGTTAGATCACCAGATAGAGTCACATACTTCGTACATGGTGAAGCTTTGGAGGGAATTTCCATATCACATGGAATGCTACTGGATCCTAAGCGGATTCAGAAGAATACCCACCGTTTGCTGCATACAAACGCAGATAACACTGAAGTATACTCTCAGGTATGCTTCGATGCTATGTTGTACATGAAGTAAGGGCGTTAAAATTTGCCTCAGGCCATATAGGGCTGTGTCTTCTCCGTAGGTACTTGCGGTACTTGAGGTAATAAGTCTGATATACTTTGGGAATACCGTTCTCTTCGGGTTTTGCTATGGGGGCTACTGTGCTACTGTACGACTCTCTCGATATTTGCTCTACTAGATAGACGATTCGATCATATTCTACAAGCATTTGAACATATATAGTCCTCATCTATGCGGGGAACGAGGTCTGGGGTCCGAGGTTGCCAAGAATGGACGACTGTCAGGGCATAATAACCGATGGCAAATACCAGAGAGAAGGGTGAAAGAGAGCATATATACAAAAGGAAATTTCCCTCTCCTTTCTCTCTCTCTTCTTTGCTCTTTGTTTCACTTGGGTCAATCTCTCCTTACCTCCCTAATGTCTTGGTAATCTTTGAACATCAGCCCATTTGCAGATCCCTGTGATATTGCCCCTCGAATCTCTGGGCACTATTTGATTCATCTGCATGTTGAACTCTTTTCATGGTCACCAAATCGAATCCATGTCTGCTTCAGTCACCGCCTCCACCTCCCTCCCCGACTGCCCTCGCCCCAGTCGCCTGCGCCGATTCAGCCAGTTACGAACCTACACTCAAAATCTGTCATCTTTGCCCGGGCACACGTATAGACACAGTTTGAGTAGTCGAATTCCTTGGCGATCCTCAACGTCAGGCTCCATCTCGCCGCCAGCGAACGCCACAGCTCCCCCATGCCCTGAACCTGATCACCCACCCCTCTCTCGTTACACCTCTGCGCCCGCCCCGAGTTACGGGTTTGCCGAACTCAACAGTCAGATATCATCTACCGAATCCGCCGATTCTACACCTTCCATTTCCACCCCGTCCAACGACGTTACCAGAACTCCCAACTCGATGGCGCGTCTGAGGAGCTCTTCGGCCGTCCATCGTCCGCCACCGCGCACGTTAGAGCGTGCCACAAACTCTCAAGAGTCCACTCCGTCTCCTGAACCGGTCGCTTCAAATAATGTGATCCAGCCCACCAGCGCTCCTGCAGAGGCGCCGGTGGCCCCCTCAAAATCGGAGACCAAGGCGACCATTCGGTTCTTCCCCTATCAAGACTCCCTCCAGAGTTCGAGGCCCTCGTTACCGTTCGTCCCAATCGCCCGAACCCTACCATCAGAGAGCTGTGTTATTCGCGTCGGTCGATACTCGGAGCGTGATGGTATACCCCCGCCCAACCCGACCGAACCCTCGGATGCCCCCGTGGGATTCAAATCAAAGGTCGTTAGTCGGAAACACTGCGAGTTCCTATATGTGAATGGACAGTGGCATATTAAAGATGTTGGCAGCTCTTCGGGGACTTTTTTGAACCACATGCGTTTGAGTCAGCCAAACATGGTGTCCCGTCTGTACTCCATTAAAGACGGCGATATTGTGCAGTTGGGTATTGACTTCCGAGGGGGAGAAGAAATGATCTTCCGATGCGTTCGGATTCGGATTGAATGTAATCGATCATGGCAACAGCAGCCTAACGAGTTCAAGTGGGATCTTACTTATTGTCCGGAGTGTCGTGTGATGCTAACAAATATCCCAGCAAAAATACGGAAAGTCTTATCAAAAACTTGGGCAAGGGTGAAACGTCTGATTATTCGGGATGTCGTGAATGTTCCATCTGCCTTGGTTCGGTTCTGGTTCGTTCTTTCCTTTGTATTCGCCCATGGCCAATCTCGCATCTACTAACTATAATCAAGCGGCCCTACCAGTGTTTGTTCATGGCAGCCTGCGCACACGTCTGGCATTACAAATGCATCAGTCGGCTGCTCCATTCTCCCGATTATCCAATGTTCCAATGCCCCAACTGTCGGGCATTTACCGATCTCAGCGCAGAGGTCGATGACTCGAATGACTCGGAGGAAAAACGAGAGAAAGAACCAACAGAAGACCGGCCATCCAACGACTCTGGAGAGCAACTCGAAACGGAAGAGCTTTCAGTGGTCGAAACAAACAGCTTGGAAGGACCACCCGATCAGCTCGAAGATCTTGCCGAAGAAAACCTGGTGAACAATGTCGAGAACCTGCACTTACAGGATGACCAGCAAACCGACGATACGCGAAGCACAGTCTCGCCAGTCCCTAATTCAAGCACCGATGACCTCGCTCGCAGCGCAACCATCAACATTCCCGGATGGCAACCCACGCAACCACTCAGCGTGCCACCGGGTCGCCAATCACAGCTACGAACTGACACGCCAGTCCGCTCAGAAACGTCCGACGACAACCCGTTAACCCCACGCAATGATTCGGGCCCTTTGGCCTTTGATGGACGAGCCGGAATGCCCTAATACGTCACTTTGGGTCGAACTAATCTCTGGAAAGCGAGGGCTTGGGTCGTTTTAATACATATTTATTCTTATTCTTTTTTGGCATCTACCCTTCTGTAGGGGGTTTTCCATCTGCGCATTCGACGACACCACTGCAAGGAACCACATCTGCGTTGGCTTCTTTATGTGCACACTCCATATACACCGTCTGCATTGTTAAATAGCGCGTATCTCTTGCATCTAGTTTGATTCGTTATGGCGGCTTAGCGTTCTCTTTTCTCCTTCCTTTACCCCCTCCCCCAAAACCTACTGATACCCATTCGAGGTCTGGACTTTTTTGAATCTCGGCACATCTGATGAACCAGGAACATTCATTCGTTAGCCTGCAGACTGTCTTTCATTATTACTAAGTAATCACACATTCGGTTTAACTGTTCTACTTATACAGTAGTCTTTTCACTGCTTGCATGTACATACCTAAATCGCACTGGGAGCCTTGACTTTAGACAGACTATCAACCTCGTGAAATATAACCGGAACCATACTCGAGAAGGTGCCGAGCTAGCAAAGCCATCAGGATATATCCTTTCTTCAAAAGCAAAATCACTCACCCTGCTTTCTACAACTTTCCAGTGTTGACTATCAGGCTGAGTCTTGGGGCGATACACATCGAGTCGCTCTAGCTGGTTCGCAGCACCCCATATGTCCAAGAGCGAGAGGACAAAATTCTTGTTTGCATGGGATAGTCGCAAAACACCATGATGGATTCGCTGCAGATAATGCTCGCTGATGAATTCTGTGATGTCCATCTGACGCATGACGAAATATGTGCTGGGAGTACCGTAGAGGGTGAGCGGTACTCGATATAAATGGTGAAGAGCCTCTATGGTAATCCTTTTGTTGATGAGAAGAATCGATGGTGTATATCGCTTCACATAAGGTCGAGGAATGGCGCAAAGAGGACCGCTGCCCGGGGAGGACCAAGGGTCTCTGAACTTGTGATAGCTCTTCACATATTCATTTGGGTTTAATAGATGGGTGTATATTATCAATCGAATCTCGGCTGGTAGATCAAGTAAGGAGATCATGTTGATTTGTATATAGTCAAAGTGTGAAATGTTAACAGCCTGTCCTTACCCCCTCTTTATCTTCTCACGAAGCCCTATTGGCTATGGTTGGAGTATCAAACAACGAAGCGCTTCACGTTGATTTTGTTATTCCAGTTGGCAAGTTTCACTTGGAGAAGCCAGAAATTTAAACATTTAACTTTTGTTGGCATCCCGCACAAAAAACGAAAGGCCTGATCTCTGTCAAGATCGAAACAAGAAACCTCACTATATCCACCTCCAAGCTGTCTGCAATAGTTTGTCTGGTAGCTATCCTAACTTGCAGGAAAAATAGCCACCCGATTAGCCTCTCAGTTGAATCTTCACCCACTCGTCAACAGTCGTAGGCTCCCTCTTGATCAACCATCTCAGAACACTAGGATTCCCTTTCAATCCACGCCGGTTATAAAACAAAATCAGCCTCTCAGCCCCGTCCCTTGTTATATCAGGACGCAAGTCCCCCTGTGAGGCCGGCCATCTCAAATCCGACTCCACATGATCCCCACTATACACATCGCTCTCCCCGGCAAATAAAAGCTTCAGGACCTTGCTAACACCCTCTTCAAACGTGGGAGTCGGAACCTTGATCTCCTTACCAATTTGCCTTTCAATAATCTTAATAACTTCCGCATCAGATACCGGCAAGGTCGAACACAGCGGATACTGAGCGAGATAATGTGGTTCCCCCTCGTCCAAAACCCGAGCCCCGGCTTCCGCCAGATCTCTGAGCGCAATTAGACTATTGGCGATATTTGGATTATAAATGTTCCAAAGATACTCAATAGATGGGTCATCGATTTTCGCGAGTGCAGCAGGCGGATACACATCCATGAAATTGGTTGGTTGGAGAATTGTGAAGTTCAGAGGACTTAGTAATAGTCTTTCTTCGACACGGCTCTTGAGATCATGTTGCATGAGGTTTCGATGCTGGGTACCGAGTACGCTTGAATAGACGAAGTGCTTGAATTTGGTATCTGGCTTTTGGCTTTCGGCAACGGCTGCGTCGATCATGTTGATCCCGATTTCCAATTCCCGGGAGTGGAGCGAGGGGCCCACGTGGTAGACTGATGTTGCATTGTTGAGAAGCTTGCGGCATTCGGTGAGAGAGGATGTGTCGCATGTTTGTACTTCGGCCTCTGGGTAGGTCGTTTGGAGACGAGAGGCGGAGTCAGTGGTGTGGGCTGCTAGACGGAGTTTGAATCTGGATTTGTTATATAAGAGAGGGATGAGGTGGGAGCATTGTTTGCCCCCTGGGCAGGTGACTACGAGAATTTCTTGCATTTTGATATTGAGAACGCGGTTTAACTTGAACTGGCTGTCAGACAGAATGAGATGTAGGGTTGGGTTCCGAGGTTTATATACATGCAGGTGGGAATCTGTACGTCAGATTTGCCCCCTCATGCAGCCGCGTGTTCATTGGCCCAAATTTAGGTTGTAATTTCCCTGCAAAAGAGATCAGAGCAGCCAAAGGGTAATGACATACATATTACTTGCTACGGCATATATCCTTGAGTAGGACTACGAGATTTAGCCACACTACTTGAGGCATGCCCACCGCCGATCACTTCTCACACCCAGCCCGTGTAAAATATTAGAGTGCCCCTATACTTAGTTCAATGCCCATAACATGACCTACGAAATCACCATCTTTTTAGATTCCAGAGTGGTCGATAGCGCCATCATTCATCTCACTACCCAGTTACATTTATCTGGTAAAAATTACCAGCCTAGTTCCATTGGAAGAAGCATTCAACTCCGAGCATCCCACTCCTTCATTTTTAGAGAAAAAAAAAGTCTTTAGTCGTACTCATACTCTCTGAAGCAACTTGCCGAAAAATATAGACAAGAGTAGACGGCCGCTTCTGCGACCTTATGATGTCTTTCTTATAGGGCTCTTCAGCGGTCTTTTCAGAGGTATATTTAACGGTCTTTTCAGATATTCTGGTTACTATGAGATTTTTTCAAGAGCCCCTTTCCAGTCTTATAGTTAGACGGCAGAAAAGAGCGGGAATTGCAGACATTGTGCAAGCGACTTGTCTATAACTTCCCAACTGGCGTGTATAAAGTCACGTGCTTGATAACGCTATGTCAAGTGGGCCCGGAACCAAAGAGTCGCTGGACCCGCTTTCCATGACGGCAACCCTGGTCCCGATTTCAATCTCCCCCGGATTTGAGGGCTCGGTTGAATACTATCTGGGTAAGACTCGAATACCGCTTGGGAATCTATCCACGGGCGTCAGCCTCACCAGTCTATCTGGCTTCGGATTGTGAACAACATGAGGTTAAATTTTAGCGAGCCACCCACTCCGACCTTGAGTCGCCAAAACACTACAATACAAGGCCATCATCAAAGGCGTGGCACCCATCCTCATCAGCTATCGTCGCGTGCAAAGCCGAGAAGGTAAGCTAAATAACCAATTTCGACCAATTGTTCGTATGTGCTAATTAATATATGCAGGTGGCCACTTGTATTTCGCTTTATCAAAGGTGCAATCCATGGTGCCATATTAGTCCCAGTCTCTTTACACGCACTATTCACTGCCTTGATTGTCTACTTGGACACCTATGTTTTCGAGACTGTCGGTCTACCTAGCACCATTGTATGTATTTCCAATCAAAAGACGATACAGCAGCTAATCATAGCAAAAACAGATCCCATCTTTATCCATTGTCGTAGGTTTGATGCTTGTGTTCCGAAACCAAACATCCTACAATCGATTTTGGGATGGACGCAATGGAATGAACACGCTAAACACCTGCGTGCGCAATCTCGTCCGCACGATCGTAACAAATAGCTACAGCTCAAAGCGGGGACCACCCACCGCTGCAGAGCGTGAGGATATCGAGCGTACAATTCGAATTCTCATGGCTATCCCATACGCCGTGAAGAATCATTTACGCGCCGAATGGGGCGCTGCTTGGGTCTTTGGAAATTCCGTCGATGACAGTCTGAACATACATCCATCTACCCTTTATAACCCCGAATATGCCAACCTGCTACCTGCGGGGCTCGAGGGTCATGAAGATGAGGGGCTAGGTCTTCCTTTCCAGTTGACATTTTTTGTTGATGGATTTATCAAGCGTGGCGAGGAGCGTGGGTGGTATCCTGCGCCTGGTGCGAGTCAGATGCAGGCTCAGTTGAATACCTTGATCGATGCATATGGAAAGTTGGAAACGATTAAATTGACCCCGATTCCTGTGGCTCACTTGTAAGATTCATGACTCCAATCTGTGTTTTGAGTTACATCACTGACCTTAGGCCAGGATTCACCAAAAGCAAGTCCTCGCCCTGTTTGGCTGTGTTCTGCCATTTGCTATGGTAGATGAAATGGGATGGTGGGCTATCCCCATTGTCAGCCTTGTTATCTTCACACTCTATGGTATTGAGGGAATAGGCTCCCAGCTGGAAGATCCATTTGGCTACGACAGAAACGACATCAAGATGGATGCTATTGTCGGTGACTCCAAGACTGAGATTGATGTTGTTTTGTCTGAGTGGCGCACGCACTCGAAAGCCATGGAGACTTTGAGACAACAGCCCGCTGGTGCAGTTCATGGTAATTTATGCTTGACACCCGATCGAAATGGAGCTGGAAACGGAAGTGCGGATGGCAAGTATACGCCCCCAGACTTGTTCTTGAGGCTGAGGCCTAGTACTGGCAGGTGAAAGTTTGGACATAAAATGTGTGCCTGATGTATTGCTGGCGCAACTTCTTACATGTACAGCCTGATTTGAGCATTAGAAACATCAATCTATCTGTGAAATAGCAGTGAAGCTCGTACAGTCTTTTTTATGGATTAATTATAATCATGGCCGCCATAGCCAGACCTGGGTCTTGCTTGTTCCAGTGTAGACGTGGATACTGAGATTGACATCGTGGGATGTAACTTGTCAAGAATTAAATTATTATGAGCACACAGCTTTTGAATCTATCTAAGTTGGGTATCTAATGCTGTAATCAAGAATGGCTAAACAGGTGCATTGGAATCTCACAAAGGCGGCTCCAGCGCCAGAACGCCATCCAATATTGAATCCGGCGTCACGTCAGCAAGAACATGAGCTACCGCATGTAAGTCACTTCCGTACTGCAGGCTGCGGTCTTCACCGGGGGCGGCGACAGTAATGCGATGGCGAAAGACCTTCCTCGCGGCTAGGGCCACGATGGAGGGAGTCATATAGTCGATTCCATGCAGAGGAGCTAGAAGTCTGTTGAGTAAGATCAATAAGATGAGCCAGACAGAATTGGGTCAGTAGAGGATATGTTTGGACTCACTGTGCAAATCGAGAAAATTGAATATTGGCATTGGCAGATACACCACTCGCAACAGCGCGACTGAGCCGCAGGAATACAACAATGTCCTGGATATATCGAACAACTTCCGCGCTCATGCTAATCGACGCACTTGTTTCTCGAAGTTGATCCATCACCTGTAGTTTCATGAGCCCAGTATTAGATTGTTATGCCCAGTTCGTGATTCTTCAATCGAAGTGAATTGAAAGAAATTGCAACTTACCAATGGACTGACTAAAGCACTCTTTGGTTGCTTGCCCTTTGACTTATGAATAACAGAAGAATCGGACAGTTGTCCATCCGAGAGCCAGTCATTCTCTTCGAGATAGGTATACCCAGCATCCGGGCTGTGGAAATGAGAAATGAACAGATTGTCATTCTACCGCGTCATTAGCTAGAGTGAAGCATTTGAACAGGGTGTACATGGAACTTGCCATGTGTGATTTGAAAGGTGGCCGGAGCTGATCGAAATCTCGTGCCACAAGAGGGACGAAAAGGAAGTCCTGAGGCGCGTTCAAGGTCCCAATTTCAGTGATCAACTCCCTTGCTCGCATTAACTATCCCACATGTTAGCAATATCGTTATTGGGTGGTAGATCAAAACACATACCTGCAGCATCTGCATTTGGATATCATCGCTGACAAAATTGAAGTTCTTGGCAACTACAATATTGACAACGTTACTGCCGAGTTGTGAGGATATAGCTGGTGTTTTGCTGTAATCACCAATACTCCTATGTGAAGATCGATTGCTTGACTGGTTTTATTAGCATGTAGGAATAATCAATTCTAATACAGAGTTGAGATATTGACATACTGTTTCCGTGTTCAACCATGGACGCGATGGACGATAGCTAGCGCGTGCATCCGGAGTGAGAACATTGTTAAAGATATCGTCAATAGATGTTTCAGTTGAACAGTCAAGGATGCAATAGGAGTAGTTGAATGTAGTGAAGCCAATCTGTCTTTCATTAGATATCATCTCAATATTGTGGGTGTATTGACATATACCAAGGCAAGTTCTTTAGCCAGGTCATTGATACAGTGGCTGGTGGTCTCGATCAAGCAATGTTCGCGGGCAACAAGGCACAGTAAAAATGCCACTTCAAGGTCGGATAATTCTCGAGCTATATCAGCAAGATCTTTATAATCCATGATTTGGAAACACGACCGAGTTGGCCAATAAAGATGCAGCAACTATCAAGAGAAGTCGAGGATTGTGGTGGGGAATTTCCGCCTGAAAGCTAAGGCGACAAAACCACCCGATCAAGTCTAGCCCGTGTGACCCCCGTCCTCATCAACAGCTCGAACATCCACCGACTAGAGGATTCAGTGCCTCATCTGTGATCGTATCCACAGTCATGCCACCCAACCCACTTGCAAATTGGGAAAAGGTTGGAGACAGCTTTTATCGCAAAATAGCCGTGTATGACGCCATCTTCGAGGACGACGTCGAGTTAGAGAACTACATTGTCGCGGGCGCCCCCTACGGAGGAGCTATCGGTAAGTTTCCATCAGAAATCGGAGATATGGACTAACATGGAAATCAGCGCTTTATCGTGATGAAAGCAAGCCATTCAGGCTTCGCGACGGACAGGGTTCGCGCTCCACAATTGATATCTATTCATGCTCTGGCCAGAAAATCAATCGTATAAACGTATGTTTGCACTTTATGATTGAATCATGGTGAATGTACTAACTCGTTCAGTGGGAACAAGCAACAATCCGCGGACTAGGATGGTCTGATAAGGAAGAGCTCCTGGTCGTCTCTGAGGACGGAACAGTTCGACGCTACTTCGGATTGGACGGCGAGTTCACATCCTTCTCTCTCGGAAATGTGAGACTTGGTGCTTACCTGGCATCGCAATGCTGCGTGAAAACTAACAATGTAACAGGGTGCCGAAGAGTATGGTGTGAGAGCCTGCCAATTTTGGTCATCAGGCCTCGTTGCATTACTGTCCAATAACCAGCTAATTGCTGTATCTAAATATGACGAGCCACGTCCACGGCTCTTAGCACCTTGCCCGGAAGGCGAGGTATCATCGTGGGCTATAATTCCACCAGCCCATACACTCTCACGTTCAGTTGAGGTTCTGTTGGCTGTTGACAAAACCGTCTTTTTAATCGACTCGACAGAAGCAGAAGACAAGATCCTGCAAGATGGTCCATTCAAACACATTAGTGTGTCTCCAACAGGGCGCTTCATCGCACTTTTCACCGCAGAAGGGAAGTTATGGGTAGTCAGCAATGACTTCCAAAACAAATTCAGTGAATATGATTCAAAATCTCGGGTTCCACCAAATACCGTGAATTGGTGTGGTGACGATGCTGTCATCCTGGCATGGGAGGATGAAATCCATCTTGTTGGGCCCAGCGCAATCGCATCAAAGTGAGTAATCTGTTTGATGTAATCTTTACGAGCATGATCTAATCATCCCAGATACTACTATGATGGCCGCGTCCATGTCATACCTGAGTTTGATGGAGTTCGTCTCATAACTAATGACACATGCGAATTCGTACATAAAGTCGCTGGTACGTTACAATCTGATAGAAACAGTCGCACTGTAATTAACAATTTCTAGGTGTTACTGAGGAGATATTCCGTCTTGGGTCGTCTTCTCCCGCTTCCGTGCTACTGGATTCGGTAGACCAACTAGAGAGAAAATCACCTAAGGCTGATGAAAACATTCAGCGCATCCGATCAAGTTTACCATCAGCAGTTGACACCTGCATCAAAGCAGCGGGTCATGAATTTGATGCCTATTGGCAGAAGCGCCTGTTGAAAGCTGCGTCGTTCGGCAAATCTGTCCTCGAACTTTACAATAGCGATGAGTTTGTTGAGATGACTGAAAAACTACGTGTCCTCAAAGCAATGAGAGACTATAAGATCGGGATGCCATTATCATACGAGCAATATCTGCGCCTCACGCCGGAAGGACTCATCGAACGCCTAATCAGCCGACACGAATACCTGCTCGCAATACGGGTTTCGGAATACCTACAGATCCCCGCAGATAAGATTTATGTCCATTGGGCAAGCCAAAAGGTGAAGGTCTCGACTGTTGATGACGAAGCTGTATGCAAGCTTATAGTCCAGAGACTCGATGGAAAACCAGGAATCTCGTTTGAGGCTATCGCTCAAGCTGCTTATGATGAGGGCCGATCCCACCTAGCTACCCAATTGCTCAACCATGAACCACGAGGAGGCAAACAAGTTCCCCTGCTCTTGAACATGGAAGAGGATGAGCTTGCTCTTGATAAGGCAATTGAGAGTGGCGATGATGACCTGGTGAATTACGTGCTTCTGCATCTCAAGAGCAAACTTCCACTGGCAAGCTTCTTCCGAATGATAAACACTCGCCCAATGGCTTCCGCGCTTGTGGAGACTGCTGCACGAAGCGATGACATTGAGCTACTCAAAGACTTATTCTACCAAGATGATCGACCCATTGATGGCGCTAATGTGCTATTATCAGAAGCATTACGCGATACAGATTTGACACGCCAGACTGAGAAACTTCACCTAGCATCTCGCCTTTTGTCAGATTCCAAGGAACCGACAGTGGTACTAAACCAAAAATTAGTCTCTGAAGCCTCCCAGCTTTTGAAAGCTCAAGACGCATTGGATAAAGACTTGGCAGACCACAACGAATTCCTTGGTCTTAGTCTCAACGAGACGGTTTACAGACTTATCAGAGGTGGTTACGGTAAAAGAGCACACAAGATGCAAAGTGAATTCAAAATGTCTGAAAAAACATTTTGGTGGTTGAGATTGAGAGCTTTGGTGGCTAAACGTGACTGGGGCGAACTGGAGGAAATCACCAAGCTCAAGAAATCACCAATTGGATGGGAGGTAAGACAGTCGGAAATCCTAAACTACTGGAACATATGCTCACACAAGACAGCCTTTTTACAATGAAATTTTAGGTGCTGGAAACACAAAACTCGCTTCAGGATTCGTGCCAAAGTGCACCCACTTGCCCCCTGCTGAGAGGATCGAGATGTGGGTGAAGTGCGGTATGATCGTGAAGGCCGGAGAAGAGGCACAAAAGACTAAAGACCTTAACACCCTGGAACTCCTCCGCACTAAAGCATCTGGCCCCGCAGCCACCGAAATCGAGCGCATGATCAACCAATTAAGGCCAAGGAAATGAGCTCACTGGCGATGTTCAACATGTATCACTCAGGCCCGCTTCAGGGTTGCTCAGGTGATCTCGTCGGCTTCATCGATAGTTGCAGTGTCATCCGTTGCGGGGTTGGAGGCTTCTGTTGCGATTTGGAAGACATTCTTTGCCACAGGGATTCCAGAAGGTACAGAATCTTCGGCCATCGCATCGTCTTCCTCGTCTTCCTCGTCATCGTCATTTTGAAGAGCGGCAAACGCCAAGGTTTTGCGGTTGGTATCTTCCCAATCAGCCTAATTCAATGTAAGCAACTGTAAGCCAAATGAAAATGACCATCGCTGTTTTCATACTCTTCGGGAGTTCACGGCCTTGCCGCGAGCAACACTTTTAGCCTTTTTGATTTCCAATTGATCCATCACCGCCTCGGCTCGGTCCATTCCCTTTTGTTGCCTTAAGCGCTGAGCCCTTGAAATCTTCTCCTTTTTATTCTGCTTTTTTTGGATACCAGCATTGGCACGGTCAGCAAGAACCGAAGGCCTTGTTGTGGTAGGAGATTCCGCTCGGGGCATGGAAGTCACCGACTTATCAAGGTCGAGACTTGGGGACGCTGCCCGCCGTGCTGCGCGGGAGCGCTGGGACTGATCTGCTCAAATATTAGCTCAAACATCAATGTATACGAGATTTGTAGTCAACCTACTCTTGCTCTTCGCCATGGTTGTTTGGAAGAATTATCAATCTTGGAATCTCGTGGGGTGGAATCGCTATCGATAAAAAAAAAGTTCACGGCAGACGAAGACAACCAAATGTGCACTTTTACGGGCAAATATGTATACCTTCATGTCCTAATCTACACACTTCTTGACACTCACACGTTCTTGATCAACTTATGCTACTACTCATGCTGCTATTCATGCTGGCAGATTTCTCTTGTCAAATACAATCCTCTGGCATTTTTGACAATGAACACCCGCAACGGGCGCTCTGAGATCTTTTCTAGCCGGCCAGATCAGCACGCAAGCCGCAGTCATTATGAAACCGCCTTCACGACATTACAAAACAATCAAACTCTAGCATACATTTTTATTGCTTTCATTTCAGTTCCTATTTTTCTCGGTTACCTCGGATTTGTTCCCGTATCGCTATTCTACCTCCCCTGGGATCTCCTCGTCTTTTTAACACCCTCTCGAATCGTTATCGCGTTAGACCCTCGCATATCTACTTCCGATCCCAACTCCCTAGCCTCGTCACCTTTGTCCTTCCAAGTCAAAAGTGACGCCATGAAACGGATTCTTGGCTTAGACAACAGCATCAACTTTCCCTTTTTCTCCCAGTCAAGATCACTCTCCATCTTCGGAAATGCACTCTTGGGCAACACCAAGGACGCCGCACCCCCGGGGCTCGGAAATTGGAACAACTCGTGTTTCCAGAACAGCATCATACAGGGACTGGCTTCTTTGAAATATCTCACTGAGTTTCTGGGACACAACGTGGACAACCTCTCGGGCAAGGCTTCTATCTCGACACACAAGGCACTACTAGACCTCATCGACCGTCTGAATAGCGCATCCGAAAGCGGAACCAAACTCTGGATCTCCGGGCCTCTGAAGTCTATGAGTAGCTGGCAACAGCAAGACGCGCAAGAGTATTTCTCCAAGTTGCTTGATCAGATTGACCATGAGGCTGAGCTGTGCTCACGTGGAGAGACTTTCAATATGGGATTGAAAATTGCAGGACCTGATGAGAACATATTTCGGGACAGTGACTGTGAAGACCCGGCGTCGCCTCAGGAACCCGAGTCCCTCCCATCGACGGATAAGCTTTATCTTGATAGGGATTCATCTTGCAATCCTCTTGAAGGCCTACTCGCTCAGCGGGTTGGCTGCATGGAATGTGGATGGACTGAAGGGCTCTCATTGATACCTTTCAATTGTCTCACTGTTCCTTTAGGTAGGAGATCTTCATACGACGTTCGCGAATGCTTGGACCAATATATGACGCTTGAGCCTATTGAAGGCGTGGAATGCGCAAAGTGCACACTGTTGCATCGACAGGAGCAGCTCCTTAACTTGATCAATGGATTCGAAGCCGATGAGAGTCCCTCAGACAGCTCCGACGAACCTCGACCGTTCGATGCTGTGAAGCTGTCAGCCTACTCGCGATTAGAGGCTGTGAAGACGGCTTTAGAGTGCAATGATTTCAGCGAAACCACATTGGCAAATAAATGTCACATCAACAAAAATAGCCGAGTTTCGACCACGAAATCTCGACAAGCCGTTATTGCGCGGGCTCCTCGCTGTCTTGCTATCCATATCAACCGAAGTGTCTTCGACGAGATGACTGGGATGTTGGAGAAAAACCTCGCGGCAGTTGCGTTTCCTCAAACGATTGATTTGAACAATTGGTGTCTTGGTACTCGATCTCTCAGCAAATCAGGCGACAATACTGAGCGATGGGAAACAAACCCGTCGCGGTCCATGCTTCCACAGCCTGGCGAATCAATTCAAGTCCCTAGCAGACATTATCAATTACGCGCAATCATCACCCATTACGGCCGACATGAGAATGGACACTATATCTGCTACCGCAAGTATCCCACATCTGAATTCACAGCTCCTGCACCGGACGAGATACTGCAAGCTGAGGGTGATAAAGACAAGCCCGAGCGTTGGTGGCGTCTCAGCGACGATGACGTGCAGATGGTTAGCGAGGGTCATGTGATGACTCAAGGAGGCGCATTCATGCTTTTCTATGAAGCCGTGGATGATTCTGTGTCGCCATGTTCAACTCCATGTGCAACTCGAGAACATGACCTCCACGAGGGGTATGCAGACTCTACTCAGTTCGGAGCTGTAGAACCAAAGAACATTTCCACTCCATCTAGTGTTACCGACTTTGAATCTGCTACTTCCCGTGAAACCAGTATCTCGTTGCCGATGGACGACCTCCTTCCTGTCGATCCGTCTCTGAAGACTTCGAGTATGGTTGACACTGATGCTGAACGGAATGGCGAACTGGACACAACCTCTACCAGCATTGCATGATCTACCACTTCTCCATAAGTTTTCCTACTTGATTTCTTTGCTCGCATATCCGTGCCGTGTGGCCGGCTACTGCATTATCATGATACCCGAACCCGCATTCCATTTCAGGCGTTTTTTTAAGCTCCACTGTGCTTGGGAGTATTTATGTAAATTAATGTAATATGAGTCCGATGCAAGAATTGACTTATTGAACCACACAATTGATTGGACTTGAGCTGCCGCCGCTCTTATGAGGGTGCTCAGACTCAGTCCGACCCGTCGCCCATACAAGCCAAGGGCGCTAGAGTATTTCTTCCTTGTCCAAACAGGGATTATGCTACGGAGTTTTCGTATACGATTGCCAGCTACGGAAAAGCCAGTCACCCGCGCCAATGGCCGCTCAAGCCCTGCGAAATGGCCCCCAATTTTGCAGCCATCTCTTTTCAACCAGGGCGCTGTTTGTCTGGGAAGATCGGCACCGGAATCAGACAAACTCGGGGGTTGAGCCTCACGTCCAAAATCTCCTGAGCTAATGTTATCATTCATTCTTGGACGGAGTAGCTTCCTCTATCTTGGCGGACTTAACACATAAGCTAGCTAGTCCTTGATGCATCCCGACTGAAACTCCATTCCCGTTATCGCACCCTCCCAAGCCTTCTAGGCCCTCGCATGACTGTCCACCATGTGGAATAGGGGCTCACTCGAGCGTGACACGGAATTAATGCCGATTGCCTACCGCCAAAGTGCAGATTTGCTGACCCAAAGGACATCAGAGCGCGAGTCTGAAAAATACTCGGAGAGAGAGACAGAAAGACTCTCCGGATACAATGAGTCCAAGCCCAAACATGGCTGGCTCTTTCAAGGCGGAGACCGGTTCCAAGGCTGGAGGTTCACTATCTGGCTAGCTTTTGTAGCCAGTCTGATCGTCTTCTTTTTCAACCTCGGTTTTATGCTCTATACTATCTCTCATCATCGAATGGATGACAAGAAGGGGATCTTGTACCAGGGTAATTGCGATAAAGTGCAGAATTTGGACATTGGCTTCCATTTGCTGATCAACATCTTGAGCACGACTCTGTTGTCTGCTAGCAACTTCGGAATGGTACTTGATGAGCATCCCCATATATGCTTTTTCGTCAACTAATAGCGATATCAGCAATGCCTCGTTGCACCGACAAGACGAAACATCGATCGAACTCACGGAAAAGGGAAATGGCTTGACATTGGAGTGCCCAGTATTCGCAATCTTTTCCGCGTATCTAAAGGACGATCGCTACTATGGATCTGCCTGGCATCCTCCTCCCTTCCTTTCCATCTCATGTAAGACAATCCCTCGTCTTATTAAACATCAACAACACCCCAGCTAAGCAAAGTAGAAAGGTATAACTCGACAATCTTCTCAACAACCTCCGTCACAGCCTACAACATCTTCCTAGGGCATGGCAATCTAGACAAAATACCGTCGCCAGACCTTGAAGTGCCACTCCACGACACGGACAAATGGTCCTCCTTCAACGGACTTTTGTCATCTGCAAAAAGCGGATCTCTGCAGCGTCTCGACCCACAGGAATGCGTGGACAACTATGCCCAAACCTTCCAAACAATATATGGGGATGTCCTTCTTGTCACCGAGCAAGTGCGAACAAACATTTCCTATGTTTACCTTACGACGCAGGGGGTACTAGTTCCTCGACTATACCTAGCTCTCACGCCTCCACAGGCAGATCCATATAAGTGGCTTTGCCCAAGCGATTGGAGCGGTGACTGCGAAGCGTATCTGCCGACCATTCAGGCTCAAATCAAGGAGGACAAATGGACCGTGGCAAGTACTATGTCGTCGGGTGGTGGGTGGAAGGTTGATTACTGTCTTGCCAAAAAGGCGAGACAATTTTGCAAATTGCAGTACTCTTTCCCATTGACCATGATCGTTATTGCATTCAATCTGGTCAAGTCCGCCATATTGTGTTATATGTGGTTTGGTATGAAAGAAGCCCCCATCCTGACCATCGGTGATGCCATTACCTCCTTCCTGCGTCGCCCCGATCCATATACGAAAGGTGGATGTCTCCTCAACAACCGAGAAGCAAAGGCCATTTTCCGGGTTTCACCAGCGTCAACTAGAAAGTATCCACTGCATGAACCGAGAAGATATTATAGGAAACGGAGACGTTGGGGTAGTGCCGTCTCCACCAGACGATGGATGTTCAGTATATTCTTGTAAGTTGTCCATCTACACCACCGTTCCCATGACGCCTGAGACTCTCAACTGATAGCTCTATAGAGGACTGCTGGCTGTCATTGCCTGTATCGCCCTTCTCGTATACGGCATCTCCCAAATAAGATCCAAGTCAACCGTCTGGCAAGCAACCCTAGGCGAAGTAAACCCAGGCACCCTCATAATTGGCAACGGCTGGCCCAGTACTCTAATACCAATCGTGATAATTGCTAACATTCCTCAACTCCTCTTCTCCATCCTCTATTTCGCCTTCAACGGCCTCCTCACCGCGATGAATATCGCCGCAGAATGGAGCGGTTACGCCGTCAACCGAAAAGGACTCCGAATCTCAGGTAGCCCGTCCCTCTCGCAACGCAGTAACTATTTTCTCTCATTGCCATATCGCTACGCAATCCCACTCATGGTCACCTCTGCTATTCTGCATTGGCTCATCTCGCAGAGTCTATTTGTTGTGGGAATTGAAGCATACAGTCCAACTTTGGAGAGAGACCAGAATCATGACATCCTCACATGTGCATACTCGCCTGTTGCAATTGTCAGTTCCATTGCGGTCGGGAGCTTTATGCTTCTCTGTGTCGTTGGGCAAAGTTTTAGGGTGTTTGAATCGGCCATGCCCGTTGTGGGAAGTTGCAGTTTTACCATTGCTGCGGCCTGTCACCCTACTTTTGATCCAAATCGTGAAGACAATGGGGAAGCCGACGAAAGGACGGAGTGGGAAAATGAAGACGAGGATATGGCTCTATTGCCCGTTCAATGGGGCTCAGTGCCGGTTGTGGGACCGGTGGGACATTGCAGTTTCACCTCCGGGGATGTGGAAGAGCCCTACGGGGGGCAGACATACCTGTAAATACCTGTAGAAGAGAGGTATATGTATAAGTACGCGTCTTTCAGGCAGACCACAACCAAGATAGAGTTGCTTTTATCTCTCTTTGTGACTGGCACCACATAGGTCTCTCGCCTGACTCGATATCACTGGGGAAAGTTACTATTTTGCCAAATCAACATCGTGCAGATGGACTGGTTGGCCTCACAAGTCACAATAATTAAGAATCGACTATTAGAGGATCTTGTTCCGAGTTTCCCTTGTGAATATCTCAATACATCTCCAATTCACATTCGTGCTCAATTCTACTATGATATCAAAGAGTGGCAAGGGGTGAGCCTTCAAGCGGAAAGTGAAAGGTCTCGAGTGCCAGGAGTTATCCGCTGCATATGTAGGTTTACTCGCCGTGGGTTGCTTTAGCACTATTTGATGATGCATTTTCTAGGGAAAACAGTCCCCCATTTAGACATGAGCACCTTGTGAAAGGCGACAGCATGGGTCCGGAATCACCAAAGTACCTTGGGGCCACCATAACATCAAAATACATGAAACCCCCTTGACCGCGAAAAGTGGTAATTGGGACTTTTTTGGCATTTTCAACGAGTTCTACTGTCAATCTAGCAGCTTTTACGCAATCCGAATCACCTGCTTTGTGACGTTGAAGATCGTTGGGTGACGCCCTGAGTCTGTATAGATCCTGAAGGTCCCCCGGGTCCTCACTTCCTATCTGATCGTCATAGGGTATGATATTGTCTCCAGTACTTGATAAAGCTGGTCATTCCTATTCTAATTCAGCAGAAATATTCTAAATCATCTTCGATAATGTCTACTAGCAAACCCTCACAACCACACGACATATTCCTCATCAATGAGCTACTTGAGAACATTCTTCTACATACAGAGATGAAAACCCTATTAACATCTGCTCAACGCGTATCTCGTGCTTGGAGCGCCATGATCAAAACATCAGTCAGACTTCAAGAGTCTCTTTTCTTTAAACCCTCCAAATTCGATATCGCGGATCCCTCACAGCGCCTGCGCAATCCCCTCCTAGAAGATATTCTCTGGGCTCAATTCTTCCTAAAACAACGGCAAACCTCAGAGTCAACCCTGGCTGCTGTAAGCAGATTTCCACTGCGGGAACCGGAGCGTCGCAAGCTTAAGGTCTACCTGCGAAAAGACGCCAGTTGGAAACGAATGCTGCTCCAACAACCACCAACATCATCAATCGGAGTTCTTGAGATCGTCAAAAGATCAGACTCAGAATTCACCAAATTGTGTGCCAAGCCAAACGGATTCCTACTGATGGGCGACATCTTGACCCTCCTCGAAGGAGGCAGTACGCTAGTTCCAACCCGCAACAAATGGATACTTTGGAGTGGGCGATCCCGTATCAGAATGCCCTTGAACTTCGAATGTTGGACACCCAAATGGGTATATGAACCTTGTACCCTGGAGCCAGTCCAGGAATGGATTCCCGATAATATCGATTGGGATAGTCTCCGGCTGGAGGTGGGATCAATGTACTTGAATGATTTTGATTGTGGCGTGATGATTGTATCTGAGCGGAGGCAGATGCTGTTCCAGGGCGGGGATCGAGTTCACAGGAAGAGCAAACTTGATTGCCGGCTAGAAAAGATTTTCGGAGAATGTCAGGTGGAGGTCGGAAGGAAGCATATCAATCACCCTTGGATTCCTATCAAAGGTGTAGGTGCCGATCGGCGATGGGTGCTTAGGCCGTGCTCTGCTACACCTCTGGTTCCCACGCTGAGTGCGTCGTCTGAAGCTTCGGATTCGTCTTCTATCTCTTCATTCTCTTTGTCTCTGTAGGGACACAATCAAAGGCTCTACGGGAATTAGCGAGTACTTTAACTCTGCTGGATATAATTTGAACAAGGTGTCTCAATCAATGCATTGACTTCAACATCAGAAGAAAACAAAGTCGAGCTTGATCAGGCCCATGTCTGATTGTATCTTTTTTTTGCGGTTGAGGGCAGCGAGAAAAGAAAGGATTGAAAGGGGAAGTGGTTTAAGTGCTCCTTCGATACGGTGAGGTCAACTTTACACCTGAATATTGGAGGGATATCTACGAATTGTAGCTTCATTTGGAGACCAATCTCAAGCGTCTTCTCTTGGGTCTTTGGCATGAAAGGACAGGTTGATGCAGTAAGCAAGAAATGGGGCCCGGGGGTCATCATATACTCCGTAGCTTGATTTGAGATACCAACTTCCTGCTTATAAGACCAAATTCTAGAAAACAACCAAGCACTTTACCTACCCAACCGATGTAAGGAGTGACAAAATCGAGCAAACGAAGACACATCCATACAGCAGTGAGAATTTGCTGGTGGTTGACCTGACCCGGCGCCAACTACTAACTTACTTTAGCCTAAATTAAAGCCCTGGGAAACGGGATGTTGTCCTTCTCCGATTGCTACAAAGGAAACATGGATCATGAAATATATGATATGGTTCTAGTGCAGTTTGGTTGACAGGGTGTATGCAACTGAATTGAATGGGCTACCATTTCGATATATATATCTGAAAGGGGTTTGAATATGGGCCATACTGCCAAATCACCTAAGCACTCTTTATCAGACTACGTATAACTAATTGGAAATTTCTTTCTTAATTTCTACGTCGCAATTGAATGTTGTTCTTGAGTAATTTTGCCCTTCGATATAGGCGTCTTAGGCTACTGATTTATCCGTTTCCCCGTATGGCCGTTCACCGTATGGGGTACGGAGTACGGAGTCGCTGAGCTTGGCTTAAGATAAACGTCTGCCCCGCTTCTATTCAGGAGAGTGCTAAGGATTGCTAGCTTTGTCGACACAAGATACGGAGTAAGGCACGGAGCCCGATACGAAGGCCTTTGAGATGGTCAAACAATCTCGCAAAGCCCAACAGCCCCAACAGGAGTCCACCTCGTATCGCAAACATCTACAGCCCAAATCCAGGTACATAGTTCAAAGAACCGAATAGGAAAGAAACACAATTCACCGCCAGTCTATCTATCCCGTGCATCGGGGATAACCAGGCAACGAACCCATGTCACTTTAGCGCGACCAGGATGATCACCACGGGATACCACTATCAACGACCCAGTTCGGATATGGTCCATCCTCGGGCATACGATGTTGCCAGCCTGTACAACCAGCACGTTGCTTTTTGCACATCAATTTCCACCGTAGCATCTAGACGCGCAGAGCGCGGATGTCAGTACCCAGCGCAGATTGAAACGATGCGCCCGAAGCATTCGTGCTCGGGATTGTACAGGAACAACGGCTTGACAGAACAAAGCAATTGCTGTATAGACCAAAGTAGGCAAGTCGAAGAAATCCTGTGAGAACGCCACCGCTATAATGAGCCGGGTTCACAGCCTACGGCAGTTCCCCATCGGCTTTGCACATGTGCGGGTACATTGCGGTGTGTCGAAACGTGAAAAAGACCAGTGAAACGACTCCGTCTCATGGTGAGCATTCATGAAACGGAGATTACCCTCTCCTGATTTGGCTGATGTTCCCCCGTGGGAATTTCCTAAAACGTATCACCCCCACGGAAGAGCGACCGTGGCGATCGCATATTACCCGATCGCAAATATCGGTCAAGTCTACAAGCCATGAGTCGGTACAATATAAGTTCTGACTCAGATAAGATGATTTGATTGGAGTCAGCAGAAGAGATGAAGGCTGTTATTTGTATCCAATGACGATGGCTGCTGTGGCGGTCTCAGAGATGGGGTGTCTGATCTCACATCTATCACACAGTTGGCGTTGGTCTAGACGATGAGCTTACGACGGTGCTATCCGTGCAAATCTAGCCCATGTGAGCCCAGTCCCTATGAATCAGGGGGCGTTTAATTGTCTGGATGAAAGTTGACACTCACGCCTCATGAACACGTCTTGGGTACACCGTCTACCCGCCACTGTCATCACATCCTTGTCGATCGATGCAGCCGAGACCGCGGATGGTGTCCCGGCAGGATGTTGGGTTACTCACCCTGCAAGACTCGTACAGGACCATCTCACATTCTTCAAAATCTCCGCTCACGGAATGTGGGTCGAATCCCCATGGGGTGGATATGTATTTCCATAGTTCAACATCTTATCTCTTATGTATACCCGCGTCCAGGATGAGCTGCATCTCGAGAATTCGTGCAGGGGCAAAATCAAAAGTACCAGAAAATGGAATTGATGGCAGAGTCGGTGTAGGTATTTGAAACTCGATTCTATCATATTCATCTCCCCTTCATTCACAGAAGCCTAGATTAGACCTTCTGAGTTGATATAATCCGGAGATTGCAATATGTCGTACCGTGTCGACAGTGTAAATTCAGAACCTCTTTTCTTCAGTATCCATTCAAGAGCAGACCGAACTGTGACAAATTTAGTCCAGAGATCTTGCATAGAAACTGCAGATGAGATGCATGATATCAGCTGCAGGGAAACCCGGGAAAGGCTGGAAGGGGCCGGTGTGGATCCGAGCTCCAACGCACTTTTGAACAAAGGGGCCAGAGCCACTCGATTCAATATGTACAGTATTGTAGAGCTTCAACCCTGCATGAGATCCCACAAGAACTAATATATACATGCAGGCCTACATTGTATTAGGTCTTTGACCTCAAGATTCGCACTGCATGGAGGGATGAACCGAGGTAAAGCCGGTAGACTACATCCTCGCTCTCGCTCGATGAAACAGAACATCTCTGTGTCCGATCTACTCCGTGTTCATCGGGAGATTCACATGCTTCCGTTGATTCGAATCCATATACATGTGTTAGTAGCTTCAGCACCCCAGTCCTCCGGCGCGGAACCGTCTGTCCCCACCATGGAACCCAGGGGTCAGGTAACAGGGCATGCATTGGAGATCAATCGAAGCACTAAGAGCCTGGAAAGGGGCAAAGATCTAAAAGTATCGCGCGATATCGATAATGAACCGCGGGCCCCATCCAGCTTCCCACAAGCCTAAACTATTTTGAAATGACTTCATGGTGGAGTACGGAGTAGCCGGGAGACGAAAAGCGTTATACGGAGCTGTCACGTCGATCTGAATTTGATTACCTAGGTCATCAAACCCCCCCGCTTCACCCCTTTCTGTGGATTTGCTCAACTTCCCCGGGCCGGGACGCAGCATCAATTATGGTGTCAGAGGCGTGGGGGGATTTGTATTTCACATTCCGTAGGCGCTATCGGGGAATTTGATATGTACATTTGTCAAAGTACGGGGTATCCTGTGGCGGTCAATCCAGTATAGATCAAAAGTCCCTTTGGATATGACGAGTATGACGGAAACGACGATCAAGCGCCCGAACGGGAGAATGGAAATTGGTCGGGACATCCGTGATAGATTGATCCACTTGGACCGGGGAAGAATGTGACAGTCTTCCCCGTAGGTACTATACTTGCATTAAGCAAGTCATCTGGTACATCAGAAAAGATCATAAAGACATGACAGATTGACGGAAAGGGGCCTGGCGTTCCGGACAGATCTCGAAAATTAGTACAGTTGACAGATGGGAAATGTCTTTGATTTAAGTGGCCTAGACTGGGATCTAGACTCAAAAATCAATTAATCCCATTTTCAAATCACGAGAGTCCACTAGAGCCTCGGTGTGACTGTGGGGGGGCCTGTGATTTGTGCGAAAATTAGACGGACTTTTCTCGGGAGGATTTCAATACTTTCATATATACCCAGAAGTATGTATCAGGAAGTCCGTACGGAGGACCGGGGAGGAACGGTAGTATCTGGCGGCAGATTCCAAAATGCCGAGGAACTGCATTTACCCGCTTGAGAGCAATCAGGCGGGACAAGCTCCGAGGCGGCGGAAGACGTTAGTTTCGAATCCTTTGGCCCTTCTCTTCTTAGCTTGGGAACTAAAAGCTTCTAGACTGGAAAATCGAAGTCCGGACTTTCGACTTGGGCCGAGGTGGAGACACGGGGAAATTTCCTTCCTGTTGTACGGAGTAGTTTAAAAGAGAAAGGATAGGTCGTTCTCCCGTGGGGGTTTTTCTTTTCAACTGAACACAAATACTTTCGGTGTTGACGTGTTAAATCTCCGGTGACCGCCAGACGCCAACAAACTTGATTCCTCTCAACCGTTCAGGCACTCAACGATTTTGTTTGGGTGCATCGATTAGGGCTGCAAATTCAAGTTAGGCCTGCACCATCCGTGACACTTGTTACTTTTCTCGAACGAAGCGGTGAATCCGAGGCATGATCATTGGAGAATTACTATCGGAACTGGACTTTACGCCAAACAATCCGATTTTGAGATCAGACCAGATTTTCTCTCAGATTGGGGCAGCCCTGTCGCAAGGGGTGCAAATCTACGGAGTAGCATTTGATGAGATCAGATTCCCTTTGGTATATGTACAACACAAATATCACAGAGGAAAGCGCTAAACCCGGGGATCCGATATTTTCCCCGTGTGTTAGAAATCTGGAAAAAAGAAACCAAAAATCAGAAATAGGAAATTCCATTTTTGGATTTTTTCTTTTTTTTTTTTTTTCGATTGGGTCGATCAGTTCCAAGGTTCTTTCCTTGAGATCGACAGCCCTTTGTTTGCCGGAACCCCCTTCCAAGGTTCCGCCTGATTGTTCTGTTTTCTTTTGATTTCTTTTATTCATTTATCCTTTTTATTATTTTCTTTTTCCTATTTTGGGGTTTCTTTTATTTCCTTTTCCCTTTCGGGATATATTTGATTTTCGAGACTGCAAGGGTGTCGAGAGGTCTAGAAGTCTTTCCCCGGCTTTGATCGTTGATATCTATCTGTGCTCTTTTTATTGATAAACACCCTCCCTCGACTCTTCATCACTTCACCATTTTTTTCCACCTTCCACATTGTCGACTTTTTCACCTACTGGGCCCTGGTACTTCCAACCCTCAACATCGACTCAAACATATCCGCTACAATGATTCCTATTCAGTCCCGTCTACAGGAGATGTCGCTCCCCAAGGCGGCAGCTCCTATCGCCAGCACAGATCCAGCACAACCTACATTTGCCTGGAGTGGCAGCGCCTCTTCTTCCATGTCAAGCCCCTTCGCCCCTCCACCAACTCCCAGCGACTCCCTCCTCGACATCAACCCCCGCAAGTCCTCTTTCTCAAGTGAAATGGGTGCAGCCTATGCCTTCCCCTCCTGGCCCAACCGTCCCTCTCTTTCAAGCCACGACTCTACAGATTCATGTGCCAGTGCTTTCCTCTCTGATGACGACCTCCTATGGATGCCAGAGAACTCCGGCGCTGAGAAAGAAGTGGAGGAAGCCATTAACCAAGACGCCGATGCCATCTGCTCAGTGACCATGGAACAGCAACTTCAACGCATGCGCATCATCGCCGAAGAACAAGATCGGGCCAATTTCCTCGCCAAGGTTGAAGCCCACGCCCGAGCAACCCAAGCCCTCCGTTCAGCCAAGCAGACGATTGTGACAGAGCGAGAGACATCGAAGCGCAAGAAGCGCCGTGTCGTTCCTACTCCCAAACGACGTGCTCACTCGGCATCCAAGGTGCACAGTCAATAAGCTCGCCGGTGATGCCCGGTACAGCGCAGGCGCTCCCCGAAAAACGCCACCTTCTCTTCGCCATCATGTCATTATCTCACCTTATCTTTTAATTTCACCCCCGCATCTTCCCGGTGTGCAGAGGCCCACAGCGGTGCCCAATCCCTTGGGGGTTGACCCTTTTTCTCATCAACCGTGATACCCGCGAGATCATCTACACTGGGGGTCACCCCCGAGCACAGCATGCCACAGATCTAGGCTCTACCCACATTTGGTGGGCCTCTCGGGCCGACATTGCCCGGTTCCATGGGATGCCCCCGCGGCTTACCTAATAATATCTCGCTGTCGGCGCTTCTCGAAATCCCACTGTTACCTTTCACCTCCCGTCACCTCAATCCTTCACACACACCGCTGGTTCATCTGGCTCTCTGACTCATTTTCCAAACACATCGATTTCTTTTTCTTTTTCTTTTTCGTGTTTTTGTTTTCCCTTTCAGCGAATCCGTTATTTCCCCCATCCCACAGGGATCACGTTCTTACATGGAGTTGCAGCGCCCTGATTCAGTCATCATTTGACATTTGTTTTTTGCCTACCATCAGGCTTGCATCCATGGGGACCCGGTGTTTTTTTTTTCATGCCTTACAGTTTTTCCAGCGTCTTTGTTCTGATACCCCCCCGTCTTGTATACCCCCATCATTTGTTTTCTTTATCTTTGACGCTTTGTGACTTTGTGCAATTTCCAAACAGCCCTCCAGTTCTCTGATCTGTGAACTGTTGGCATATTGCCACCCCGTGCCCATATCGCATCTGTCAATAGCTGTTCGTACATTAGCTAGCCTGAACTAAGCACATTGACCATATCCTGAAACAAGTATATCCTGCCAAATCATGAAACCCAATTTAGAATAAACTGAAAATAGTAATCCGATCTAAGATGCCTGAATACAACTATACATCTCATTTCCTACACTTCCCCAGCCAAGTACCTGCCACGTTGCTATAGATGTAACATATTGTCTGAAAACCACATCCTGAAAATAGAATATTCACAGCCGATCGTCAGCCTTGCCCGCCTCGTGTTCCCCGCTTGAGTAACCGCCTCATCCTCGTCCGCGTAGACCCCGTAACCCCGAAACAGTGAGGCTGTAAGTGCTTATTGCTGTATATGTATGACACGCGGCCCTCTTGTCGCTGAAATGCAACAGTAAGACCGGGGAAGCCGCATCTTAGTAATCGGGAATGAGGCGATATCACCGAAGCTCCTGGAATGTGTGTATATGTACACTCTTACTATTTTATCAGAGCGCATCGGAGCATATCGTGAAGTTACGGTTGGGGTTGTTGGGCTGAGTTGGTCAGATTTGGCATATCCCCACGTCGCCTGACTCCAATATACGGATCCTGTTGGCTTCTTCCGGGATGGACTAGTCGGCTGCGATTAATGAGGAATGTATACTCGGCGTTGGCCCTAAGAAAGGAGGCTTAAATGATGCTGGTATAGTACATGTCAGGCTGTTGGATGTTAGCCGCCTTGTTCCTTGTCTATCACAAGGACAAGCTCTATAGTATCATTGGTGTTTTCGAGAACCCTGTCACCCGTTAAAGTTACCTCGCTATTACTGTTACTATCTCTTTCCGTCATCGTTGGTAGTTCTTTTCTTCTTCATTTACGCTATTCGTCGTGGGTGTGTTGCACCGATCCAACGCAAACGGGCGAAAGGGCAAAAGGGCACAGTCGCTATATCAAGCGGCCCGCGCATCACATTTCATGGATTTGGTCGGGCACATGCTTCAACTTTACCAAGTTGGTTATTGTCAACTGGAAAGAATTTCGATTTCACATTCCAGGCATATGACACACCTGCCTATCGGGGACACTCCCGTCTGGAACAATATCATATGATAATGATTCGTGTAGGGTTGATTCCCAGTATCAAACTATACCGGCTTGATGATGTCATTTCAAAAGATGGAATGTAGGATATGCTGAGATCCGAGGGATACGTTGAGCTTGGGACCCCCCATGACGGAGGATGAGGCGAGGGCAACATGTATAATCAAGAATACGTGGAGGCTGCGTCGGTGTGCACGCATCCCTCCATTATGAGATCAGGATTTCCTGATTTGGTAAGTCGTAGCATGATTTCAAATCAATATAGCATGGATGAACTTTGCATTTCTGGGTTGACCAAACTCCAAATATACGCCCCAAGCTGGTCTGAGCTGGCCAATGGAAAAGGGTGTTTCAGCGAAGGCAAGTAGCCAGTACTTCTCGGCACAAGCGGCAGTCTCCAAGATCACTTCAGGTTGTTGCGGCGGAAGGGAATCACCGTGACGCTGAAGGAACCTCGAGCCGATATTTCTTCGTTCCGAACAGAATGTACCTCGGATGCAGCGGGCCAGCGGAAAGCTACTCAAAAGACTTATGCCGCTTGGCTACTGGCAAAGAGGAGTTTGGGGATATAATCGGTGGCCTCGGGAAGCAGAGAAGATGATACAAACAAGGAAATAGTTGATGAGGTGATAATAATATAACGAAGCTTCTAGATACTGATTGCTATTGTGGATGGGGTCTAGTTCCTGGCGTTGCGAGATCAGTACGACCACTTAGAAACATTGCGATCATTTCCAGAATATGACCCGCTCTTTGAGTCTGATAATTGCACTTTTACATCAACGTCTCTTGCAATGCGATCCATCTCGCTGATATTTTGAGATCCACATTGCACTCCTACCAAATTCTTCCCAGGTTCATGGTAGAGAAGGGAGGATGGAGGTGTTCCAGCGACCAGGCCTTTTGTGCTTATTGACTAGACTCGTTCAAACCAGAAGAATGGCCCTGGACAGGAGTATTGTAGCTGGGAGCGTCAACCAGGGCCAATTACCATGACATAAGACTCTTTAAGTGGATATAAATCCAGTTGCCATTTCATCGGCGCTGTTCTGAGCAAGTTGCGGCAGCTAAGTCGTCCAGCTCTGGGGCATTTCATCCATACCAGACCCTATACCTTTGCCGCTTCTTGCAGGATATTTTATTCTGTCACCTCCTCGCACAATCTGATTTATGCTAGACTGGCGAAGGAAATGCCATGTTTTGACGATCAGCACTATCAGACGTCTGACTATCTGTCATCACTGTCAAGTCAACCCCAAGCATGCTTGTTGGTAGACCACGGCTGACCATTGCGAAAGCTGGACTGGATCATCCTGATACGGTAAGTATGGCCAACCTTGCCTTTACCTGGGAGTCTGTGAGTCGAATGGCCCACACGATCGATTTGCTCAGAGCCTGTGTAGTCGGGCAGGAAAAGGTTATAGGTCCGAATCATCCTGACACCTTGTCCACTTCCGCAGCTGTGCTTAGATTGGACATGCGCCGTTTGGCTATCGGCGCACGATTAGTCTAGCTTCTCTCAATTTATTGTGTGTTAGGTTGACCTCACTCTGCTTGCAAGGCAGTCAGAAGGAATCGCTGAAACTAAAACAATGAAATTGAACGGAAGGGATGTAGTTGGAAGCGTCAAACAGGACCAATTTACTATGACATAGTACTCTTAAGTGTAAACAAAACCAGTTGTCATTCTATCAGCGCTGTTCCGCGCAAGTTCCAGCAGCGAAGCAGCCAAGCTTTGGGGCATTTTATCCAAGCCAAACCGTAAGGCCTTGGCCGCTTCTTGCGAGGAGTTATGTCCTGCTATTCTTCTCGTGGCAGTTGGCACATCTAACGTACTTTCGAGATCTCCCGCAGTGGCCAACCAGCTCAGTGAACGCTTTGCTTCGTCGATGCTTTCGTCGAACGCCAATTACCAAGAAAATTGCGGGACAAATGGAATGCCTAACATGATGGAGATTTAACAGGCATGGATTGTGAAGGAAGATATGAGTGGTTCATATAGTCTTTGTGTTCATTCGTCAAAGACGACCTGTGTGTTTTCCCAAGTAGATGCTTTGCAGGATACTCTATAATACTCTAATTGCCAAATGAATTCATCAATAACCGAAATCTCCAGACTATCCCACCTGGTTGATGATCTCACCAACACACCACTTCTCAATCGTGCGCTTCAACATAGCCTGTAGGTTTTGCAATGTCCTTTCAGAATACCAGGCAAGATGAGGTGTCAATACCAAATTCAACCCCGCTGCCTCTGGGCTTAACAATGGAGAGTCGCCTCTCCCGGCAGGTTCGATGGCATAAACATCTGTAGCCGCACCTGAGATCGCCCCGCGCTTGAGGGCTTCAATCAAGGCCTCCTCGTCAACAATCCCACCTCTTGCGACATTAACCAAGACGGCATGAGGGGACATGATCTTGAATTCCGCAGTAGAAATCATGTTCAGCGTCTCAGCACTTCGCGGCAAGCAGAGAACAACCACAGTCGATCTTTTCAAGCCATCTTCGAACAGAACCCGACCCGCACGAGGAGACGCACCTTTGCGCTCAGCAATGATCACATTCATCCCAAGGCCCTTTGCCATGGCCTCGATGCGTTTACCCAGCGATCCGTACCCAACAATACATATGGTTTCATCACTGCACAGCAACGGAGCCTGTCCATCAGGCGCACGAACCCGACTGAGCAATGAGCCATTGGTCTTCCACTCAGTATCACGCGACAAGTCCGCAGGAACTGCAACTGTGGCATTATGGAGCTCGACAAACTTCCGTCGAGTGGCAAAGTAAAGTCCGATAGCGTGTTCACTGACGCTGTCGATATTAGCGCCGGGACAGTTGCACACAGGGATTCCTCGTGCGGATGCCGCTGCTATATCGACGCAGTCTGTGCCCGTCGCCATGATCACTACAAGGCGGAGTTTTGGGGTGACTTCGGCGCTGAGAGTCTCTGCTGTCAGGCGTGTCGTCGTGGTTACGATGATTGTGGCATCTTTGACACGGCTGTGAAGATCAGCGGGGTTGGTCCTTCGGTGTACTGCGCGCGTATGCGGCCCTGGAAGATCAAATTCTGGGATTGGGCAATGGATGGCCTCGATGGCGACAATGTGGTGGGTGATGTTCTCTGCCATGACTATGGAAGGTGGAAGATGTGTTTGAAGATCTTTTCACTTTGATATCCAAGTCCGGCGACTGATACCAAGGGTAGCCGATGTGGGTCTGCCGGTATGTCCCCGGTAGGGCGTCGGACTATCCGAGAATGGAGAATGTGAAGTTCCCAACCCCCCAACGTATTAGGCCTGTTCTTATAGATCGATGATTACCGGGGTAGCCGCTTATGCTTAGTGATACCACTCCATACTCCTACTTGAGTCCTATACATGTTCATGTTTTTTTCAAAGCCTTTGACAATTAATCGTATGTCCGCACAAAAGCCACCATTTGTTACCCAGGCCTAGAATAATACTTCTCAGGTTGGAAAGCTGATATTCGCTGACTCGTATATAATCACCCTTGATATGGATATTCACATAGAAGTATAGTTCTCGCCATCGGCTTAATACAAATGATTAAAATAGATTCGAAGATAATCCCGTTTCCAAAGAATTCGTTTTTTTCTGAGACGGTGTTCTTATATCCCACCACAGCGGAAGGGAAACCCCGGCTGTCGAAGACATCTTCACTCCTGTCAATAAGATGTAGTTCGCCGGCCATTCATTGGTCCCAGCCACTTTCTCTCCGCCAGCTAATGGCCCACTCCCCCCATTGCTCGAATACCCTCATACAGACCAAGGCCGGACCGGTTCCGGTATCTTATGATTCAGCCAACGAATTTGTCGCCGCTGAAGTCCCCCCCAGCCGTGTCCACCACCCGGTCACGTCCTTCCTGTTGAAGCAAGTCCGGCAGTTTCGAATCTGCAGGGCTTGGAAAAGACATCAGTAGTTACCGTGGTCAAACATGTCACGTATGCACTGGTATATCTGACTGAGAGAGCAGATATCTTCGTCAATATCGTGCCCGGTGGAAGTCCAGACCTTGATCTTGATAAGGGCGATCGCCGCCCTTCACCAGGATCATGTATTACCGATCGCTTGGGTGTCGTACGGAGGGAGAATTGGTGATTTGGACTCTTCATGTGTGCATGGTCGCGATTGATCTACAAGACCTTGTCTGTGGTGGTGGGGATGCTGCATTTGTAACGGGAGGGAAAATCTTTGTTAATTGAATATTTCATAAATTGTAAGGAAGGAGGGTCAAAGGACACAAGTAAGACGATATGCAAAAGGCCTGAGTCTATGGATAGGCCCAGTATATCATGACCGCGCTTTCGAGGAACTCGAGTTCAATTATATTCTGAGAGGATATGGTACGAGGATCGACAATAATTAGAGCCCCTTGCTGAAAAGTTGTCCAATCTCTTTCAATAGCGGCTCCTTCTGTACGGCCTGAACCTTCGTCTTTCCAGAAATTGTCTCCGCCACGCCCATAGCGCGACAAAGATCAATGAGAGACCCGTCCATCGGAGCTTCGTAAACAAGAAGCCCAAGAGCAAACAACAACCCGTGCAAGGCTTCTATACTCTCATTTTCCCGCGAAACAGCCTCAAGCACCGATGCAGTTAGCTCAACCTGATCTCCCTCAGATAGAGGATCAGGGTTCCCGTCAAATCGGGCGTTATGATTGAATGCAGCAAGATTGTACGCAAACGAGGCAGCAACAACGCGAAGGCTGGTTTGTGAGTCTAGGAGGGGAGTTGGTCGCGAGACGGAGGCAGCTCTCGCGGAGTGGGGATGAGGAGGAGGTGAGTTGTTCTGGGTAGAGAGGTGTGCTAAAGAGATTGCAGGCTAATTGGAGGGCCACGATGCGGAGGTTGTATGGACATGAAGAGAGATCGTCTTGGGATAGCGGCGCAAGGAGAGTGAGGAGGGTTGCATGTTGGGCTTCTTCGGCGAAGTAGCCACTTGCGCGTGGATCAAGCAGAAGAAGACGCACTAGATCAACTACAGCAAAATGACTGCCGCTGGGAAGTGCCGAGTATGTGGAGGTCAATGTTGTGGCAAATGCATGCAAATCGGGGACCCTAATATCAGCGACAGTTTCGTTGGTTGAATGACGCTGCTTCACAAATTCAATAACCTGCGCAACACCATGGCCTTCCTTGAACGTGGCAGGGAGCTTTTGGAGAAGCTTTTCGAGTGGTGGAACCTTCTTATACATGACAAAGGTCGTGATCTCTCGCTGAAGACTGGGAAGCCGTAGTTGACGATGAGGGTGAGCCGGGTGGGCCATCTCTAACAATATACGAACATTTCCCGCTAGCTTAGCCGGGGTTTCACCGCTCCATTGATCCAGCTTTTGGCCTTTCAAAAATGTCATGAAGGTAGGAGTCGCGTGCACACTGTACTTCATGCCAACATCTTGAGCTACGCCGATGTCGACTTTGATGAGAGTACCTCGCTCACCCGCTTCCGCTGCGAGCTGATCATATGGTGGATAGAAAGCCTTGCAGGGCGGGCACGTTGAAGATGTGAAGAAAACAACAGCGCAGGAGTTGGAAGCACGCGTCAGCTCGCTTTGTAGCTGACTGAGATTGCTCACTACGCGGACTGTGCCCGGTGCTGGATGTGTTACCGGCTGTGATGTGGCAGGAACAGTCCTCGCTGTGGTCGGTTGAACACTAGGCCCCGGGGCAGGACCTGTCCCGGTGCCTTGAGTGACACCTTTGAGAGCACTCTCGATCTGAGGTTTCATCATCTGCCCGAAAGGGGTTTCAAGAAAAGTGCGAGGTAGATTGATAATATGTTCAGGGATACTTTTCCCAACAAGAAACATTGAAAGGTCTTGGGTAAAGTTATTGCAGTTATGAAGAAAAAGGTCATAGGACTAGAGCTGATTAGCCATACCCCCTTGCTGGAGGGGTTCATGAACAAACCTCAGGCGTATAGATCGTTGCCAATGAGCCAAGGTACTCTTCAATAACATCATTTGGAAGCTCAGTGGTACCCAACTTCACGATCTCCATGGGCTGCCCATGATGGGTGCTTCCCGGAGTAGAGGTCTGGATACCCTGGCCAAAGTAATATTCAACCCCGTTGAGAACGATAGATGTGTGATATATGGCGTCCATTTGCGTCCCCGTCAGAGCAAGGGAATACTGTAAAGGTTAGTGACTGCTCACTTTCCATGGCGCGTTGAACATACCATTCGGGCCAGACCCTATATTCAAAATTAGTTGGTATTGACCACATGTAGAATTGTAGAACTTGCCTTTGAAAGGTCGTAAACATATAGTGATACATCCATGATGGAATTGATATGTAGATGAGAGTCACCTTTGCGGCGAAGAGAGAAAGCCCTTTCAAGGTTGATGCGCCAGGCGCCAATCCGATAACGTCAGCGTCGGGTGCCTCCAGGACTGCCATCACCTTCGATCGTCTTCTCTAACATTTGGTATGTGACATTTGATATTTGATATTTGGGATTTCATATCTTGAATGACTATTTCTACTTCATCTAAATGGAATATGGTGTTTGTTCATGGATGCGATCCTATCTCTCACTATAAACTGCATTCGAGATCTGCTTCAAAATCGGAAAATGATCGGATATCCTAGTAGACCAGAAGTCCAATGCAAATGATTTCACTAACTTTCGCATATGTTTATGTTCAATAATAATTGTACATTGATGTACCATACCTAGGTAGAGCTATAATTCTGGCCGCATTCATAGATCGTTTTCCAATCGCCCTCCCCACCTCCAGATCCTCATTTTGCCCATGCCAACATCACTGTGAATCCTGCAGCTCCTGCCAGTGATACCCACATGGTAAGAAATCCCAGCTTTCTTCAATCGTCAATCCCCAACTAAAGCTGACTTCCTCGCAGCCTCCCAAAAAGCGCGGAGCCGCAGCCAGCTCCTCCGCACCGGCAGCACCAAAGCGCGGACGCGCATCCAAACTCGCGAAGGAGAACAACATTACCGCCGAAGAAGAGAACGAAATCAAAGAAGTCTTCAACCTATTCTCTGACAAGAATGCAGACTTCCCCGACGAGAAGGAGGGAGTCATTCCGCGCGAGGATGTGCGCAAGGCACTGGTGTAAGCTCTCCCACATCTCTACGGCCATTTACAACAATCGACATCACCTGCAACCCCATTCCCCCCTCAATTTCTTCTGCATAGGCTACGATGCGCGATATTAACGACTCTCTCTTCAACAGCGCCCTCGGACTCCCACCCACTGACTCAACTGAACTCGCCGAAATCCTTTCCGCCCTCGATCCAACTCTAAGCGGATACGTGCCCTACAGCCCCTTTGTCTCAATAGCAGCAGCTAAGTTGCGCTCGCGCGATGATGACGCCATGGCTGCCGAGGTGGACGATGCGTACCAGCTATTCACGCGCGGCACCGGTGGCCCCATTACACTATCACATCTGCGGCGCATTGCGCGTGACTTGAAGGAGGATAGTGTGGGTGATGACCTACTTAAGGACATGATTCTTGAAGGGAATGGGGGTGCTGGGTTGAGTGCGGGTGTTACTTTGGAGCAGTTTCATGATGTCATGACCAGAGCTGGTGTGTTTTAGAAATGGGGGATTTGTGTAGATCGTTGATGAGACTTTGGTTCTTGTTCTTTTGGATATACGGGCCTGGTTTGGCGTTTGATATGGCATCTTCTTTTTAGCAGGGAGTCGAAGGGTTTGAAACTTTGAAGGGATTGGATTGTTCGAAAATCGATTATCATTTGTAATGTTTCCATTGTGGTGTAGATACATGCTTTCCTCCTCCGGCTTCTGCGAAAGACATGAAAGAATTAAGCCTGGTGGTACTAGTAGCAAAAGAAGAAGAAAAAAAAGAGTAAACACAGCCATTGAAAAAAAAAAGCAGAACAAAGGAGCACAGAAGGAGATATGACCCGCGCATCAACCATAAAGAACTCCCGAGAATATTTGCGAAACTTGTATCATGCAGGAGCCGGGATGGAGGAAAGTGAAAGCAACAGCTGAAAGCTTAGGAGATCTCGTCGGCCATGCCGATGTCCTGGTTAGCGTTGGCCTGGGGGACAGTGTTGTTGACGGGAGCAGTGCCTTCAGCAGGGGGCGCATCGGCGGAGAAGTAGTCGACCATCTCAGCATCAAGCTCCTCAACAGTCTTGGGCTTTCCACGACCGCGGCTACGAGCGCCAGCAGGACCCTTGGTGCGGCGGCCTCCCTTGTCAGTAGCGGCGGTCTTCTTGGTCTCCTTTGCCTTGGGGGCGGCGGCGGACTTGGGCCGAGCCTTCTGACTGTGGATAAATAAGTATATGAATGCGGACAGTCAAAACGGAGAGCAACTTACGCAATGCGCTCAGTGAGAGGCTTGGGGGCAGGAATAGCAGGAACGTGAGATGCATCATAGACAACTTCGATCTATTGAGAAGGTCAGTCAATGTTGCATTAGGGGTCAGCCAGACGAAGAGTGTTTACCTTCATTGGGCGACCATCGACAAGGAGTCCGTTGAGCTCATTGGTGGCCTTGACAGCAGTGTCTGCCCTGCTGAACTGGATGGAGGCGATGCCACGGCTAGTACCATTCTGGTTGTAAGTAAGCATGACCCGCTTGACAGGGCCAGCAGACTTGCTGAAGTATTCCTATAGCGCAACGACGATCAGTATTTTCGTCAGACAATTTGAGTGAGCGCGGTTCTCGAGTGTCGGAAACAAGGTGGCGGCGCAAACGAGGACGGTCAAAGTGAGAGGGCATCAGCGAGCACACAGCATCAATCGATTGTCCGTTTCATCCCAACATAGGAACATGGAAATCCCTAATTGCAACCTAAGCCGACAGGTCGCAACGTCACTCCCCGCAATTGGATATAACACGCCAACAAAGATCCATAGTAGTATGGAGTCTCAACTTCATCCGTAAATCCATCAAGCGATCACAACAAGTCCTTCAACAAAAGCGCTTTTTCACATCACCACCATCAAGGCGAGATTTGTCAACTGGAATCCATTTGCCCATGATTGTGCCATCCCACCAAGATAGGGCCATGTTAGACACGGTTTGAACCTCTCTGAGTCACTGGAATAGGTAATCACCCCATAGCAGCAGGACTCTTCACGGAGAGATTTGAGACAACAGTCTCGAATAGATGGGTTTCACCCTGCCCTCTGAAACTTAAACCAGTTGACCATTGTTCCACAGATGCGCTCGCTGATGCCCACATGGATCTTGAAGTAGAAGACAAGAAGGAAATGCGTAGAATTCAAGAGAGGTCAGGATGATGGGTTTTCATCAATCATCCTCGGCACAGTACTCAGAGTACAAGGCGGGTGGATTTCTATGTGGAAATCGACACGAGCAATGTACGTCTTTTCACAGTACTACAGCCCAGCTCAACTTCTTGTCTTGCAGAGCGCCAGCTATGTTTATATATTTGCAGAGACATTTAGAAGGAGCAGGCTGTTTGCCGTACATCGAGGAATATCCATCGACATGGGAAGAGGTAGAGGGAGGTCGATATACCGATCGGAATCGTTTGCGCCGCAATATCCTCGAGAAAAGAGATGGCGGTGGAAGCCAATATGAGAGCCTTTAGATCAACATACCTTGACATTGGCCTCGGACACATCGGAAGGCTGAGGAAATTAGCGCATGGACACGCTGAAACATCACCGGAATAGGAACTTACCAATCCGCTGACAAGAATCTTGCTGGAGCCAGTCTGAGCGACAGAGGCTGGGTGAGCAGGCTTGGGGGCAGCCTTGGTGGATTTCTTCACGCCTCCAACGGCGGATGGCTTAGTCGCAGTGCGGCGGGCACCGCCACGGCGGCGACCAGTGTTGCGAGCGGCCTGGCGACGGCTGCCGACGAGATCATCAAGAGACTTGTCGAGGTTGGCAGACATGATTGCGACAGAGATGGAATAGCAAAGCTGGCGATTTGCAAGTTCAGTAAAAGTCACTGGAGAGACGCGTTGTGGTTGATATGCGACCTGTGATTGTTGAGTCGCGTTTGAAGAAGATATCAAGATCACAGTAGATTCTCGAAATAGGATGAAGTATGTGTAGTGGGAAAGGATGAATCGTGAGAGGAAGAAGGATATGAGGGCGCGAGGAGAGGGGGCGAGCAGGCGTTGCCTGGTTTTGCACTAAGCCCCTTTTGGCGGCCGATGCAAACACCTGCCACCCAGTTTGATTGGATGTTATTGAGCCCCAATGAAGAGGTGTGATGGATCTTATCTTTGTCCCTCTATTGTCTGTATGAATTTATTGTCCCATTGCATGTCGGATTGAGATGAATTACAGTTGATTTCTTATTGTGTTGCAAAATGAAATCCATTATGTGCAGGTCCGGCCTCGAAGAGAATAAACTATGGAAAAAGGAAAACATGGAACCAACTCCAAACGCGAGAGCCATGAAGCGGACGACTCAATAACAAATAAACAAGACTAACGCTCTGGGTTTGCAATATATACTAGCTCCTGAGAGCTTCCAACCGGCCACGCATCTGGGCGAGAGTGGCTTCTTGGTCCTCGAATTCCTCCTCGGCTTGTGGGGATTCCGGCTCTGAGATTTTGGCCACAGGAGGTGCCGTGACGGGTTGTGCTTGGGCGAGTTTGCCTTGCAAAACTTCATGTAGGATCTTCTCAATCTCTGATTCCGCTTCATCTTCCTCATCTTCAAAGACTGAGGGGTCCATGGTAGCATCATCAACCATTTCCTCGATAATGCCAGCCCTGACTAATTCCGAAGACAGCTGGTGCATGGTCGCAGATAATTGGGGTAGTCGGACCAATGTGTTCACATCCTTCATGATCCCAGTTGACTTTTGAAGGCTGCCCTGGATTTTGCGCGCCGAGAAAGCTTCATTGACTTGCATTCCTACACTCTGTAGTTGAGCTCGACTGGTATTCAACCGCGTGGTCTGTTTCCGAATGCGCACCAGCTCCCTTGCAAAAACTTTGGTGTCATTCATAGCCTGCTTGGCCTGGGATGGGTTTCGTTGGGCCCGTTTAGAGGCATTGACGATGTGCTGGCGAGTGAGACTGTCACTAGCTTTAAGCCGGGCTAAATCGCGATCGAGTTGCCGTGTGTTTGTGCGTATTAAAGCATTGCATTTTCTCATCTGACAGATTATTCTTCATCAGTGTCATGTTTCCAGGTATTGACGAGCCACACCAACTGCCTACCTGGGCTTGCGGGTCAGGCCCAAAGAACACCGCCTTGAGACTCTCCATGGATGCGATCTTGTTGTTGTAATAGAGATGGAATGCTGCAATGGAAAAGACAAGCAAGCAAATCGAATGGGCTGGGTGGCTCCAACAAATAAATTCAGCCTCGAGGTGTGGTTTGATCAGCGATTAAGGCTCACGCCTGGTGCATCGTCTTAGAGATAGGCGGGGCAAAGCTAATTCGTTGATTATATTGGCGCAATTCCAGACCTTCGGGGTATTAATGGCAGGACTCTTCTCTAAGACAAGAGTCCGTAGGACTTCGGTTCAGTCTTCAGATCAGTGTGTACTGATGCGACTGTCAATATTCACTTAACGGTACCTTTGAGTGCCACTCTAGTCCAGCCCGCGCCGGGAACGGAAACTGAGTCAGCTTTGACGTAATACGATGTCCCACATAAGTTAATGCCTGAGGCATGCTTCTACCAGTTTCTACAACATAGCACCTAGGTAGGTCGTGGATGAGCTTCTCTTACACTTTCTCTCCTCTTTTTGACCACCTTTCTTATCTCTCTCCATTTTCTCAATTCTACCGGTTATCATCCCTCTCCTAATTCAATATGTCTCAGACCTTGACTCCCGAAGGTACGTTGTTGTTACTCCTACTGCTTCCCCGCTCCAACGCGGGACTGCACATTTTGCATGAAATTTACTATGACGTTATTCAATGTTTAAGACTGTTTTGACACATTGACTTTCTCAATTTTACAAGCTCATTTCTGAGGAAGCTTGAGGTGCTGATATTCTGTCTCTTTCTAGTTACATGGGCTCAGCGTTCATCCGATTCGGAGCCTGAGCGCAACTACCTTTACGTGAACATCAAGGCTGCCGAAGTCCCCAAGGCCGATGCTACCCTCAGCATCACCGAGAAGAATGTCACTTTCAAGGGTACCTCCAGAAAGGGCGTAACATACAGCGTCTCTCTGGACCTCTTTGCCGAGATCGACCCCGAGAACAGCAAAGTCAACCACACCGACCGCGACGTCGAGCTTGTTCTCCGGAAGAAGGAGCTCAAGCAGGAGTTCTGGCCCCGCCTTCTCGAGAGCAAGCAGAAGATGCACTTCTTGAAGACCAACTTCGACAAGGTATGCTTAGGCGTTCGTTCAAATTGATGGATGGTGACTAATTGGATCCAGTGGGTCGACGAGGATGAGCAGGATGAGGCTGGTGAGGACGACTACGCCAACAACTTCGGCGGCTTCGGTGGTGAGGGCGGTGACCCCAACGCCGGTGCCGGTGGCCTAGGCAACATCGACTTCTCTAAGCTTGGCGGTATGCCCGGCATGGGTGGCATGGGTGGCATGCCCGACCTCAGTGCTCTGGCTGGCGGTATGCCTGGTATGGGCGGTATGCCCGGTGGTGAGGGTGCCGAGGAAGAGGATGATGTAAGTTTGCTTGCTTATATGTGACCTGTAATCATCTACTAAGACGGCCTTACAGGATGACCTCCCCGAGCTCGAAGAGGCCGAGGGCAAGAAGTCCGCCAAGATCCAGGAGGTCTCTTAAATATGAGATGCCTGTTTTCTGCGAAATCTATGACGACCAGAAACGAAAAATATGGGTGCTTTAAGACGCCTACGGGATGATAGTTTGGATTATGGATTTACTTAGGTTTTTGCCGTCCATTGACTGCAAGTCTATTCTGACCAGGCAGCTTTGCTCCAAGGCCAACCTTTATAATCGGTAGATCTATCTCATCGAAGACATCCCAATGATTGATGAAGCGTGATGAGTGGTCATTGCAGGTTCATGTAGAGTATGCATAGTCAGTAGCTTTAGAGTCTGGGGTACAATTGTGTAGGGTAATCGAAGGTTCCCAACAGACACCTGAGCGGTTGCCTTGACCTTCCTGGTCAATCAACCTCCTTGGCATGTACATCGTGGGTATCTTGTTTGATATCTTTTTTTAGGGGCATTTGGTGGGAAGTGAAGGTATTTCAAGGTCATATACAATGATAAAAAGGTTCAAATTGCGAGACTGTCTATATAAAAGCGTTTCCGTATATCCTTATTTTCCCCTGCTATATTCGCACAGGGACCCTATTGTGGGTGTCGAGGGCAAAAATTAGTGGGCATATGACGCATGTCGCTTTGAAGAGCACATCCTGACAACTAGACATTGTACGCCAATAAAACAACATTTGAGATTGATTTTGAGACAAAAATGAGTCTCTAAAAGAGAATTGAATCTTCAAGTCTCTATAAACCATTCCACCTCTGTATAATTCGAGTCGTCACACCCGCTGGAGTAGAAGGACCCGCATCGTTATTGGTTAACCAAAAATTGCCGTCACACTCTCTCACCCCTCGTTTTCGACATTTCAATTCTACAACTCTGGCGTATCTGCCCACATCTCGATCTCTTCTCTTTTTTTTTAGATCTCCCTGTCATTCATTCAGGTCGTAGCGTCTTATTTTTCTTCAATCTCATTGTCAGCAACTAAAGCGCACCCTGGACAGGCGCATTTTCACATTTTTACTCTTCCCCGAACCCGCGACGTCACGTCCACACAACCGCCGCCATGCCTCCCAAGAAGGCCGATCAGCCTAAGAAGAAGAAGGCCACCGTTGAAGATAAGTCCTTTGGTATGAAGAATGTACGTCATACCCTCAGCTTGAAGTTTCGAGCTCGTGACATACATCCCAACATGTGGTAACATTTAATATAGAAAAAAGGTGGTGCCGCCAAGAAACAGATTCAACAGTTGCAAGCACAAGCCGCAAGCAACAAGAACCTAGACGAGAAAAAGAAGGCCGCCGAAAAAGAGAAGCGTGAGGCCGAGAAGGCCGCCGCTGAACGAGCCAAGCGCGAGAATCTTGAGCTCTTCAAGCCAGTGCAGGTCCAGAAGGTCGCCTTCGGTGTCGACCCGAAGACAGTACTCTGTATCTTCTTCAAGCAGGGTCACTGCGAGAAGGGCCGAAAGTGTAAATTCTCACACGACCCCAATGTCGAGCGCAAGGCAGCCAAGAAGGATTTGTACACCGACAGCCGTGATGAGAAGGTCGACGAGGACGAGAAGAAGCAAAAGGATACCATGGACGACTGGGACGAGGAGAAACTACGCAGCGTTGTTTTGAGCAAACACGGCAACCCGCGCACAACCACCGACAAGGTGTGCAAATTCTTCATCGAGGCAGTGGAGAACCAGAAGTACGGTTGGTTCTGGACTTGTCCAAATGGAGGAAACAAGTGCATGTACAAGCACAGCTTGCCACCAGGGTATGTCTTTGCGCCACTTATAAGTGCCTCCATGCAATACTAATAGCGTGAGCAGATTCGTCCTGAAGACCCGGGAGCAGAGAGCCGCCGAGAAGGCCCTCAAGGACAAATCACCCTTGAACACCCTCACCCTAGAGGACTGGCTGGATTCTGAGCGTCACAAGCTGACGGGTACGCTGACACCCGTCAACGAGGAGACCTTCGCCAAGTGGAAGAAGGAGCGTATGGACAAGAAGGCCGCCGAGGCCATGGCACAGCAGGCTAAGGAGGCTACCGGTCGTACGCTATTCGAGAGTGGCAACTGGGCCGATGAGGATAGTGAGTACGAGGAGGGTGAGGACGAGGACGGAACCTGGAACTTGTCAGTCATGCGGAGAGAGACCGAGAGGCTGCGTGAACAGAAGGAAGAGGAACGTCTTCTCAAGCTCGGTGGCGGGATGCTACCCACACAGATACCCGCAAGTATACCAGAAGCTGTCGCACCTGAAGCTGTGGATTGAGTCCCTACATACCCTCACGATACTAGATTCGTGGGCCCTTGAAGATCCTTCTCCCCCGGCCACATGCAATCTTCAGGTTTGTTTTGTGTTGCTATGGGGTCGGATCGCGATGTCGAGTGATCGCTACAATCGCCTGCTCTGAACTACTCGCTTTGTATGCAACCTCGCACCTCACTGAGGGCCTCGGTTGGTCGCGTTTTCTTCCAACCTCTATATGTGTGTACTACAGATGTCATGCGTAGAGGAAAAGGTCAAATCTGACTAGCCACAGGGGCGCAAAGGCTTGATGAGTCTTGTGTCCCATTGTGACGGAAGAATCAATGGCCGATATACCTTTTGATGGCACATTGTTATGTTGTTGGTAGCAAAAAGTTCGTTCATTCAAATGAACCTAATGCCTTCCCATTCACATGTCAGTTTGCACGACATGGTAAGATCTATCAACTCTAGAAAAATGTACAACATGCTCTCTATAAACAATGCATGCGCTTGGCAAATGTCACCAAATAGTTTTACAGCGAGGCTCTAGCCTGCAGCAACCTCTTCTCGAGCATCACGGCGACAATGTCTTCTGCAACACCCCGAGACAGTTCAAACCCACGACCACCAGCACCATACCCATGAACGATATACCGTTCATCAGCGAGCTTCTCCGCCTCGATACGCAAACCGCCCTCTCGAGCCGGTCGCCGACCGACGATATCGCGAATCACATCGAACTTGCCGCCGCTCTCGGGGGTGAAAGGGAACCACTTGGTTGCGTTAGCAAGGAGCCGCTGTCTGGTTTCCAGCGATGGGTTGGGGTCCCAGTTATTCGGCTCCTTCGTGCCTCCGATAATGGTCCCGCCTTCGAAAGGACGGGGAATACAGAAGGACCACGATCCATCGGTATTCTGTCGAGTAATGGTCTTGGAGACGGGGTTACGGACGAGACAGGTTTGACCTAGAGGACATGTCAACACAATTTAGAACGTACACGGCCGAGCGCATCCCAAGAACAACTATCACCCTCACTCCCATCGTAGACCCACACATACCTCTAATGATAAACGATTTCGGGTCTTCAAACCCACTTCCCGAGCAGTTCACCACAGTCTTGACATTCCCCGCCATACTAAACGCCTCCTTCACGTTGGCAAGCGTATACTGTCTCGTTTCACCCCCTTGAGAACGAACTTGCGCAGTAAATGCGCACAGTACACAGGCGAGTTGATCACATACGTCCCGTACTTCACACCCCACACCACGCCAGCTGGAACATCCTCTTTCCCCAGAGTCTGGAATTCATCCAGATGCGAATAGACATTGCGCACACTCTGCTGATCCAGATACTCGGGCGGTGGAGCCTCGAGGTGCTCAACACCTTCCACGAACTGAATTCCCGCACCGGGCTCAGCGGCCGCAGTGCGCTTCAGGAAGTCATACGTGCGCCGTGCTTGGTCCGCTTCCTTAATGGCCTGTGGCGAAGAACCTGGGACTGGGCGGTAATGGGCTCCTGCCCATGGCGAGGCGTAGTTGACGGAAGTTTCCGAGGGGAAATCGCGGGCTACCAGAAGAATGGATTGCGCAGGAGTGAGGTTTTGTTGGATGCAAAGAGCGGTAGTAAGGCCAATTACGCCCGCACTGGTTGATGTCAGCTGATTGTGTCTTGCGATCTTTTTTTTTTTTTTTTTATTTGGGGGCGGAATTTGTTCGAGGATGTTATAGGAAGTTTTGGACTGACCCGATCACTACGATTGTCTCTTTGGACATTTTGGAACGTTGGAAAGTCAGCGACTCACAAGGTAGAATTCATAGAAGTGAAGCAGGGGAGGTGAGTCAAAGCCCTCTGGGGAAGATAAGAAGACCCCTGCGATCATACGATAACGACATGGTCTGACCACCCGTGGACATATATGGAGTCAGTATTCCGGTGTCTGCTATATTTTCTACAACTGATAACCTGCCCTATCTCTGCGAATTAGCTAACATTGCATATAATTTGGATCTTAATCTCACAAATATGCTCTCATATCTTCGATTGGCCTTGAATATGTACTCGATGTGATCACGCATAACCCACAAGATATATATATTGTAGTGGGATTCTCCCGTGACTATAACTCCAAGCATCGGAATTGATCCAGTGTGCTCAGTACAACTTGGAAATCCTTTGACCCAAGTCCAATTGAAAACTCTGCCCCGATACTATCACAGGGGCCCAAGCTCCAGGACGTTCGGTGCCTTTTTATACAGGGATGACTGCATATGTTTGCATTCACTGTCACATCACCCAAATGCAGAGATTTGAAGTACTCCACACTCTATACAACATACATAAGCCTCGTGGGAAATGAAAGAAATGAAAGATCGTCATAAGAGGAAACACTAGTTCAAGCATGAAACTTATCAACGGTCTCCGAGTTCAATCCCAGTAGAGGCTTCCTATAGGCCGATACAACCAAATTAGGACATTTTCCTAGTGATTGGATGCCACCTAGGAAAGGCCGGTTGAGTACAGGCATTGGCTGAGGGGTGGTGGTATAGGCGCCGGGGGATCAGCAGTGATTGGTGGTGACTGGTGGTGATTGGCCAGGTGAAGTGACGAAGCTGCAGCTTGAGAACAACAGCACGGATCCCAATCACATTGCGGTCTCGGATCACATTACATCTCTCTTTTTTTTTTGCATACTAGGCTTTTTATCATTTGGAAACTGGGCGGTTCCTTGCAGTTAATCAAAAAGTGTCAAGTTAAGTTGGTGTGTGAAGGGGAATGAGATCCAACTATATCAAGTACCTAAACGGGCTGTATTCCGAGTGATCGACGTGCAGGACACTAAACATAGTGCAAGGGCCAGGGATTTGTTTTTTTCTTCAAGTGATTCCGGAACTGCGTCTGAGGGTTAAGTTTTCTATGGCTTCTGCATGCTCGTTGGTGTAAGTCCCGCATGATAACCCAGCCACCAAGAAGGCTCGATCTCACCGTCTCCGCTAATAATATGATGAATATGGGTTTCATCCCGGGTTATGCTTTAGTTCCTCTGTAATTCCAGAAACAGATGTATGGTCCAAGAAATGAAAGCGCTCAAGCAATTCCCCCCCCCGCCAACCAGGTCCCCCGTTTTGATCGACTATACTCTTCGCTTGTTTGGGAATTGTTTGTTACGAAGTACTTGGGCTGGATGTATGTTGTATATTATATAGTCCAAAGTCTGACACCAAACTTAAGCCGCCCTCCGTCACGCCTATGTGATGAACGTGCAAGCGAGTTCAATTTCCTAATTGTCACACTGGATCTTTTTATCTTTTTATTTTATTTCCCCCTGTTCTAACGGCTTGCATTCTCCTTTTCTTTTCTTGCCTCGCATATTTCCTACATATCTTGCATCTCGCCATTTACATTTATAGGGCCCAGATCTTCTAGCCTATTTCATTTCGGTCAGATATCCTGGGCGCTTATTTCTCTCCCCAACCCAGATGTCCCTCGAGAGAGACACTAGAAATTCCCCGTCTTTCGTCTTGGGTCCTGGTGGATTAGAAATTTACCTGGCTTAAACAGAGGTCAGTGGTCCATTGTTTGGACTCATTTCGTCCCTCTTGCTCTGGATTATATCATTTGGGACTTTTGTCTTGGATAGTAAACCAATTTCCCCGCAAATCGTCTCATATGCTTCATCCGGGCCAATATAATGGTTGAGTTAACATGGAATAGGAGCTTGGGGACAGAATCACGACCCTCCAGGACCGTCAAGGCAATGGCACCTGCACCGCCGGCTATCCAGCCTCGCTTCGAGGCCTGCGCTTCGACGGCATCCTTATTCCTCTATGCCCAGGGCTCAACAATCCTATGTTTGCATCATGATACATTAGCAATCGAGCGTCGTTTTCAGAGTCACCAGGCAAATATCGAGTTTATATCGGTCGATAATGTGAGCGAACGGGGTGCGGGAAGATTGGTGGTCAGTTACGATGTAGGGCAAACGGCAATCGTCTGGGATATCTTCACTGGAAACGAGATTGCCCGATTTGCTTCCTTTGATCATCTGCGAATAGCTTCGTGGATGCGTAATGGCAATGTCGCATTTGGTACGAGATCTGTGCAAGATTCTATGAATCGTGGAGTTGCTGACTTTTTTTAATAGGTAATGGCAAGGGTGAGGTGATTCTGTTCGAACCTTCTACCTCGGAGCACATCTCGGCGCGCACCATTTTCGACCCAATCACAGCTCTAGCACCCGCCATGGATTGTCGTACTTATGCAATTGGGTATGTGGAAGGAACATGATTGAGAGGTATCATTGGAAGCTAATGCATTTCTAGATATCAAAATGGTTCTATATTGATCGCGACTTTACTTCCTCAATTTACCATTCTTCACACTCTGACTACTTCGCGTGGACCGTCGCCAATTATTTCCTTGGCTTGGCATGCATCCTCATCGAAACAGAAGTCAGACATGCTGGCAACCCAGTCATCAAATGGCGATTTACGAGTTTGGAGCGTGGCAAAACCACCAGGGAAAGAATCACCTCGAGTGATTAGGGTATTGAAACGATCCGATTCAAACTCCTCTGATCCTAAATGGATGGGCTGGTCAAAGAATGGAAGACTTGTGCAATATCTGGAAGGGTGCGCAACGCTACGAGAGAAGAATTGGGAATTTACTGACATCTCTTAATAGGGAAACATGGTCTTGGGATGTTCGAACAAAACATGTTACTTACGATCCAATTCCCACAATCGACGGTGTGCGAGGTATTGCAAACTATGGTCCTACAGCGACTTTATTCACCATCGGCCCTCAGCATTCAGTCCAGCAGTATGATTTGGAAAACCCCACGATGGTTGCAAATGTGCAGCATCTTCCAATTATACCCCGGCCCGGTACAGCGGAAGGCAGTCGAGCGAAAACAATGTCCCCACGCCGCTTGCAAGACGCTCCTGATATTCGGGAACTACCAGGCGCGGCCAGACGAACGCCATTTGATGCAACCAGCATCGAGAGTATCAGACAAAGGGCAGATTTGACGAGCCCTGCTTCGTCGCGAAGTCGGACGGAATCGGTGAGCTCAAAGGCTTCCTCTGGGAAGTATAACATGAGACCCTTTTCTCCGCCGAGTCGCTCTGGTCAGAGTGCTACGACATTTTCGATGACATCGGGTGGCCATGATACGCCGCAGGCTTCGGCTTCTTTTGCGTATCCCTCGTCGGTTTCAATGTCATCTGTGAGAAGCTCAAGGGCGGCATCTCGATTGCGGAATGAGGTTCATATCAGCCCTGCGGACAAAAACATCGTGGATCTATTTCCGTTCACTCGGGCCCGATTGATTGATGTGCCTTACAAACAGCAGCCACCTATCGACGAGACAAATCTAACTTCGGATGATCTTCGGCTGCAGATGTTGAGTGTGGTTTTTGGCTGGGATGGAGACATCCAAGATTTGATCACAGATGAGTGTATGTATTATCCCGTATCCTCTGTATTCGAGACATATTTTGACAGTCATTAGTGAGCCGCCACGCTATGGGTAGCCAAAGCGCCATTCTCTTAACGCGATGGCTTGGTGAAAACGACACAGATGAAATGGCCGCAATGATTAGCTCTGGGCATGTTACAACCTCAGACTGGATGATTCTTGCTTTAAGTCAGATGAGCGGTCAGGGGCAGGCAAATAAGGTCGGACAGGCATTTGTACAGAAGTTGCTTGAGATCGGGGACATACACACCTCGGCCGCGATCTTGCTTGGTCTCGGGGATAAGAACGACGCCATCGAGGTTTACGTTTCTCGCAATCACTTCATGGAAGCTATCCTAATGACATGTCTCCTGTTCCCGTCAGACTGGCAGCGCCAGTCATATCTCGTTCGTCGATGGGGCGAACATGTCGTTACTCATTCCCAGCAGCAACTCGCCATTCGCTGTTTCATGTGCACGGGAGCTGAGCCATCAGAGCCATGGGCATCTCCTTCTGCCCAACAAACATCATCTTTTGCAGAGATGGTTCGCGCATCTCCTCTCACCTCGCCTGAGCCTTCGCAAGCCAATATGATGCCACCACCAGTCCGCCCAAGATCCACATCCAACTCCAAAACCGCAGTGAAAACGCCAGCTCTGAAGCTCATTACTTCCTTCGAAGGACAGCCAGGGCGTTTCCGCTTCCCTGGCTTGAAGTCCGATGATCGCACGCCGACAAATGCACCTGGAATTACCCCGATTGCTGAATCCGCTGTGCCCGAGTCTGCAATGTCCCCTGGTGGATTTGGCTCTTATAAACTGAACAATATCCAAAGCCTGAACCACGCAATGACCTCCCGAACAAATACTCCGGCGTTCAATCGGCGTCGTCTACCCTCAATAGGAGAGACGCCAGTAGATGTTCACCCCCAAGCTTTTCACGATCAAATTCTTACAGCCAGAATGAGTATAGCTCCACATCCGAAAACGAACGCGAGCAGAGCCAAGATGAAAAAGAGAGCAATAGCGGGTTCCTCATTTTGTCGGCTGTTAAATACAACCCCGATCTAGACTCTCAAAAGCCCAGTCCTCAGACTGCTGTGCAAGGGACAGACAAGTTCGCTGCCATCAAGGGGCTTCCATCACCAGCTGCCGGTGTATTCGAGGCCCTCACGAATGATGATCATCGTAACGGGTCCCGAGATCGAAAGCCAGACGGCCTTCAAATCGAGACATTGGAAGGTGAACGAAACCCGCAGGACCGCACCGGTTTGATTCCCAGCGCCAAAAGTACTGCTTCAACTGCGAACTCCTTCGCTTCGGCTAGGAGCCCAAGTGTCAGTGGTCGTAGTATCGACCAATACATCAGTAGTCTTGACGAGGCGAACTACCATGCGCGGAAGCTCCGTCCACATACCCCAGGCCGTGGAAGACGGAACCCAGACGACACTGCCAGTCAGAGCTCAAGAGCTCACCGCGATGCCTCCCGAGATACTCGCGGTATGAGTGAGCATCGATACATTCAATCCGCCAAGCGCTCTCCTTCTTCTCCAGTGCCTATGTCTCCTGAAGAGTTGGCTCGATACCATACCGGAGAGTCTGGAAAGCCATTTGAAACACAGAAGTCAAAATCTCGCACTAGAAGTTCGAGCAAGGTGAGAGGGTCGGCTTCTCGGAACCGTCAGCGCTCTTCGAGTCGACACACTGCTAGCCGCATCAGTACAGACAAACGAGACACATCAATTCGAGGTCGCAGCAATGACCGACAAGGATCCAGCGTTCGGTCACCATCATCACCTCTTCCCATGGCATATCCCGCAGAAGGCACTTCTCAGGATATTGACAACCCTTTGAGACTGGTTGAGGGTAACCAAAAGAGACTGCGATCTCGCCACCGAAGTGCCAGTCGACGTCGTGCTGAAAAGGGATCAACTTCCAAAACAGACGGCGCTTCAGAAACCAGACACAAAACATCGCAGAGTCTTTCTGTGATCCAACCAGGACCTGCATCAGACCCTTGGGCACAGCAGGCATCGGTACCGGAGCAGTTAAGCAGCAAGGTCTTTGGCCAAGAAGGCACGTCCAATGGGCATTCCAATGGACAAGGTCAACTAAGCTCGACAGCCAATGAGTTCCAAGACATTGTACCCCCAAGGACACCGTTTGTCACCCTCGCGGAGAGAAAGCGAAGAGAGATTGCCGCTGCTGAATTGGAAGCACGAAGGTTATCACTCGCACGCAACCCATCAGCACCAAACATTCCCTTCCCCGGCGAACTGCAAAGTGCAAGAAGCCCCCTTGAGGGCTCGCCGCCTTTCTCTGGTACAAGCTCATACTTCCAGCGAGCTCCATCGCGGAACAAGATGGCCCCAGCCAAAGTATCTACGGACTATCCCAGCAGTTCTGACTCAAACTCTTCACGCTCTGGCATGCCCGGCGGACTCCCAGCAACTCCTCGAGCCATGCGGCATCCCAAGTATGGAGGGACCGGACAAGATGAAGAGCGGCCTCCCTCTGTACCCATCATTCCCACAGATAACAGTTTCTTCCTCAGCAGCGCCCGGTATCAAGGAGATGCCGCCGAGAGAATCGGACGATCGATGTCCGTCCCCGTGCCAGAATCACAGTACAATGCCCCATCAATGCCCATTGACGTCCCCATGCATCCTCGCTTTAACCCAGCTCTCCCTCGGAGCCGGTCCAGCAGCCGCAGCCGCGCGAAGGGCCATAACCGCACCAGCTCAGGCGGCTATGTCTCCGGCACCTCCCCTCACGTCCAAGTGAGCATTGAAGAGACAATCGAGCACGCAATGCAGAGCGAACCCTCATCACAGAACGAGACGATTCCGCCTCCACCACCTCCTCCCATTCTCCCGGAACTGCAGCATCTCAACACCCCACCCCCACCACCCCCATTCCCGGTCTCCGCAGTGCCCGTCTCGCCCCGCGAGTCGTCAGCAACAATCGACATCGCCATTGACAACAATGAAGACCTCGGCCGTCTTCTCCCTCGCGCTATGACTGCCGCCCCAACTCTTAATGGAAACAGTCACGGAATGGATTCCCGTCAGTCGGGCAGTCGTATGTCCATGGACCATCGCCGAAATCGTAATTCAAATGAGAGCTTCACGAACAAGCTGCGTAGCTTGACTCGTATGCGCAACAACAGTCGCAGCGTCGAACCTTGGACGCAGGCTCACGAGGCGGAAATGGCTCCCCATGAGAGTCTGAATTCCCATGTTGCTGGGTCGAACTCGGACTATATTTTGCCGAGTCAGAGTTATGTTGCGCCGGGTTCGAACTTTGTTTGAGCGCGGTAGGGCTTGACTGACGAACGAGTGTTCTTTTTTCCTATACATCTTTCCTGGTCTTTATTTTTATCCTTCTCTCCTCTCTTTGCATTATCAGCCCCCTGTTTTGATTGTTTTTGTTTTTCGTCATGAAATTGCAATGTCCTGGATTTCAACGCATCACGCATCATGTTTTCACTGCCCCTTGGCTTCGATTTGACATCACCCCTGTTTAAGGGCTCATACCCTCTCTTGTTCTGTTTGATATTCTCTGAGTTATATGCCCCCAAATTATATTCCAAATACCATATCCTGTCATCAGCCTTAATCTTATGGTTGATTGAATGCACGATTTCCTAGTCTCTGGTTGTCATGTTTTCCTTTTCAAGATTGTAGACAGCGATGTCTCTAAAAATCCGGTTTCCATTGGTTCATACTCTCTTGATCAGGGTCACCATAGCTAAACATATATGCCTGCAAAGGCTTAATGATAACGGTATCAGTTGTTTCCTATTTGAAGATATTGTGCTATGAAAGTAGTCTGTCTTGGAAAGGCCGAAGAATGACATAGTTGTACATGCAAATATAGATGTAAAGATGGGCTGACAGATTCCGTGTATCACCAGCCTCTGTTTCGAGGTGATCCTTCGCTGCCAGCGTTCCTCTCGGCCTCAATCATCCGATCAAACTCTGCCTGTGCTTGATCTCTCTCAGACTTTTGGTTGGAGTCGTACTTTTCTTGATCACTCTGGCCAAACCCGACAGAGTAAGGGTTCATAGTAGCCTGTGACATGCCGGGCTGCTGTCGAGGCTGGGCGCGTGCTCCCGCATTCTGTCGTCTAATCCGGTCCCAAGCACTGCCATTAGAAGAACCATCGATGTTTGTATCCCGGTATTCCACCGCCGTAGGGCTGGCATCGTCCTCATCCATAAAATCCAAAGCCGAATTTGACTCAGGTTGAGTACCCCTGCCGCGTGCCCAGATTGCGCCAGCATTCATATTCGGTGTAGACGACTCATATGAAGCAGACTGAGAGCTCCCCTGGGTATCATTGGAGCTCACGTATTCAGAATAAGAATTCGGCTGGGCCGGAGAATCATAAGACGTCTGCTCCTGTTCGTACCCGTTGTCGCCTGTATATCCAGCAGGTGTGCCGATGATCTGGGATCCAATATCTTGCTCACCATTGCGCATGCCGCGGAGACGCGCATGGGCGGCCTCAATCTTACGCTTGCGCACATCTTCTGGTTTCGCTTTGCGCACGTCCTCGACAAACTGCTTCAGTCGTGGGTCCGTCAACATGTGCATGGCATCTTGTGAAACCGCATAAGCGCTCGATGCCATGCTGCCAAGAGTAATAATGAAGACCATTTTGAATGCCGCTGATCCGATGTTCCCTCTGAGGCTCGCATCGCTAGCCATGGTGCGCACTGTATTAAAGAGTGCAGCTGGTGTGGGGTTGCGCGGGAAGAGCGGCGACTTGCGTGCTTGGCTGTAGAGAAGTGCTGTTCCGAGGAATGAGCTTATGGGTAAACCCGTCCGCGCGTGGTACAGGCATCGCGTTCCATGCTCCACCATTGCATCGAGTTCATCTTGGGTTGGTGGTCGTTGTGTCAGCACGTAGTGGTTCTCCACTCGCTCGGTCACTGTTTGGGCGACCTTTTGTTTCCAGGCGCCTGTGCCGAAAAATCCAAAACACAATGTGAAAATATCAGGCCTCACAATTGACTCTTGCCGGAGTTGGAGGTTATGTTTCGCGAGCCCAGGTTTGCGGGTAGAGGGTGAGGAAGCGTTATCATATGTCTGGCCTGCCTGAGGCGAGGCATCGTCAGAGCTCATAGTGAGTATGGGTGTTGAGGAAGGCTGAGTGTTGAAGTGATTGGTGAGAGCTCCGGAGGTAGCTTGTGCTGTTTGTTGGAACCCCGGATGATGACGTTATGAGCTGACTCAGCTGCATAAACTCAGGGCCAACTTTACCTCCGAGGTCCAGTACCCTTCGGGGCTACTACTTTGATTATTTGAAAATAGGGAAAGATGAATATAAATGTCCATTTTGAATGTCACTCGCTTGTTGAGATATTACCTCAGTCAATGCGCATATGGCCGTAATATATTCTTCCTATCTTCGTTCCGCATGTGCTGCTCTTCTGGGTTTACTGATCAAGTACAATGCCCCATAAGACCTATAAGACCCAAAAAAGTTCCCCGAAAAGGCCCCTACCACTTCTCAACATAAGGTCGTAGGTCTAATTCAAACGCAAATGTTGTGCGTGGTTGAGTATGCAAATACCAGTATGAGTCCGCAATCTAGGACTAGTGAGTGTCCGAGATAACTCAACCAATGAAGTCAAACTTACAGCGTCGGGGCTTAATTTCGCATCTTCATGCTCAAATACCCAGGCTTTGGTACGTGGGATATCAATGACACCATCAATAATAGTATGCGAAACATGGACGCCCTGTGGCCCAAACTCACGAGCAAGTGACTGTGCCAACGCACGCAGTGCAAACTTGCTCGAAGCAAAAGCAGCAAACCTAGCTGACCCCTTGATACTAGCAGTAGCTCCTGTGAATATCAATGTAGGTGGATACTCTGATGATTCACGAGCTTGTAGGAGGAGCGGGATAGCCCGTTGGGCAAAGTTGAAGGCGCCTTGTCTGATATGGGAGTAATAATTCAGCAAGATTCCTAGAAACAATGGTACTGCATCAAGCCTAGAATAAAGCAGGTCAAGTAAATGTAAGATATAGCAAATACGTACGCCTGTGACCGGAGTGCAGTCGAGTAATCTTGTTCCGTCAGCTCGAGGAATGGCTTCACGACGAAGCCACCACCTGGATTGAAAATAGCAGCAGCTACCTTTGATGAAGGATACTGCGCTTGAATCTTGTCAAATGCAGCATTGACGCTCTTCGACTCGGAGACGTCGGTGCTGATGCCGATGGCCTGGCCACCGCTAGAATTAATTTCTTGAACGACTGAGTTATAGTTATCTGGGTTTCGAGCCAGAACTACAACTGAGTATGATTTTGCAAATTTCCTAGCGATTGAGGCGCCCTGTCCCTTTGGTCAGCTAATCATGCTATATCTGAAGCCAGGAAGAGGAGGGAATGTGGACTATACCGTGCCAGGGCCAACGCCAGCAATGATCGCGAGTGCCTTAGAAGCCATGTTTGATCCAGTAAGTATATAAATGTTTTTCTAAAAGTTGGGATGAAAGGAATCTACACAACTAAATAATGGTCGTCGGGCCGGGAGATGCCCCCGAAGCTTAGAAATGCAGCGGGGATTGATCATCGTATCCGCAGATGATATCATCTACAGAGGACAGGACTGGTGTATCCCCACGAAAGATCACATATAGGAGGAAATGAGGTCATTGATAGATGAATAATCCTGTCGATTGCGCATATTCAGGTCTATCAATCTCCAGTCTATCAATCTCCAGAGCCTGGAGAAACCAAGGTTGGGCGACATGTGACTTTTGTATAGTTCCAGAGTTTTCTGCCTCAGGCGGTTATCGATAAGACAAATAAATTTCCCATCGAATCGCCGACTATCCATCTATTCATCTGCACAACAATCAACATGGCAGACTCGGATCCATTGCTGAGTGACCTCTGTTCAATATGGTATGCCCATGAAACTGCATATTGGTATATGTGGAATCTAACATGTGTTCGTACAGCCATGTCAATCCTCCCAAATACCGCTGTCCGCGCTGCTCAACACGCACCTGCTCTCTACCCTGCACACGTCGCCACAAACTTTGGTCGCAATGCTCGGGCGTGCGCGATCCAGCTGCTTATCTGAAGCGCAATGAATTAAACACCGAATCCGCATTCGACCGCGACTTCAATTTCATCACCGGCATCGAGCGCACCCTCGAGCGTGCGGAGAGAGAAGTCGAGAACCGCGGGATTGATCTTACAGGTGGTCCCCAGGCGGAAGACGGTAGCTCTGAAGGGTTTCAGCATCCAGCTGCTGGCCGTAAGAGAAAGCACCCCAACCAGGGGCTTGCGAAGGGCGAGGCCGCGTTCTTGCGTGGCACCGAGACTGCTGGTGTGAGAGTTCTCCGGGCTCCCAAGGGAATGTCAAGGAATAGGCAGAATGGGTCGCGTTTACATCCCAAGTGAGTTTGGAATTTCTCGTGTCTTTGGATGCAGACGTTGTACTGACTTGGTCATTCTTTTAAGACATAAGCGTCTTGCTTGGACCATCGAGTGGATTACGGCTGATGGGGTGAAGACTATTCGTGATTCTGTTATTGATTCATGTTCTGTCGCTGAAGCCTATAACCGATGCTGCCCACGCCCGAAGGATCAAGAGCCAGCTATTGAGTCAGCGGAGGAAGAGAAAACAGCAGATTTGGAGACCCCTGATACAGCTATACCTGCACCCAGTGATACTGCGACAGAGGTTGAAGCCGGAGATACGAAACCACAACCGTACCCGACTACAGACTTAGCAAGGGAACCAGCAGAGGTCTCAACTGAGCAAACAGATAAAACACCAAGTCAGACTATTGCCCCTCACCGCGGTCTGTACTTCTACCTTCACCGTCCGCGAACTACAACGAAAAAGCCCGTCTTAGCTCCTCTTTTGCAATCATCGACGCTCAATGTTGTTCTTCGCAATCGGACAGTTTTAGAATTTCCTACCATTTATGCACTGCCAGAGTCAGCGGAGACACTGTTTGCCGACAAAGATAACTCCAAATTTATACTAGAGGAGGATTATCTTCGGACCGCTGGGCCAGATGAGATAGGCCAGTCTTCTACCACGAGTGACGATGATGATGCGGCTGGAAACGAAGCGCTTCCCGGTTCTTCGGCAAATCTTCAAGATATCGATGAGAAGCTGGTACTGGAGGTATTAAAGCAAGATCTATTTGAACCAGTCTCGGAGACTGAGCCAGCGGTATGAATGATTTCTGTATGAAGAGATATCAGAAGATGTCCACCTAGCACGTCTACCAGACAATGTACCATACCATAAACAGCTAATTATTAGTCAATTGTACAAAGAGTCACCCTCTCGAAAGAAATATGAAGCAGGTTTCTTTACTGATGACAACATGGGCACCCGTGGACATAGCTTCGGCTGATTCTGACCTCTCGGCGAAGAGGAAATCGCGATCAACGCGGCTTCCTATGGAGTCGACCCAAAGACTTTCCGGGTTCACTTTCACATCACCAGGGCCCATCTTGGTTTTTGAATCCGGTTACTGCCACTATGAAAATCAACATTTTGGCCTTCGCGGTGGCCGTCATCTATCTCGGCACGGTAGCATCCAGTCTATTAGATGCTAGGACACCACCGCAATTACCAGCCAAGAAACGTCCACGCGGGTGCGATTGCTACACGATTTCCGGGCCCGATCCAGGATACTTCCAGCATTACAAGGTCTGGGACTTTCGGGCAGTGGATTTGAAGAAACATGCCAATCTCAATCTGTCAGAGCCCATCGATTATGGCGACGAGGACTGGGATGATGACGATGAGAGCGATGGCCAAGACCCGCAAAATGACCACCCACCTGGGGTCCACGAGTCAAAGGACCCGGACCCCAGATCACTGGTATTCTACAAGACCTCCTTCGAAAGAGACTGGAGCAGTCAGAATTGGGAACGCCGAGGAACCCCCATATCTCCAGTCCTCATGGTAAATTCGAAGCACAACGTCTTTCTCACCCGAGACCATGAGCAACATAATCCCCATGCGACGTATCTTGTTCTACGCACCACCCGCTTCTCAGAGTACACTTCTACCGCGGAGATCGAGACTCGTCTACACAACATCTATCGATGCTCGCTGCGTGTCCGATTTCGTTTATTGCCAGCTGGTTCCGTCGTATCAGAACCCCCTCACCCCGTGGAATGGCCGCCGCGAGATCCAAAACGACATCCCACCGCACCCTTGAACAATAAGACAATTCCGTTTCACGACGGCAGGCCACCTGATGGCGCTTGTGCTGGCATCTTCACCTACCATGACCAAACCTGCGAATCGGACATTGAAATTCTCACGCGGGACCCGTCCCATCGCGTGCACTATGCCAACCAGCCCGATTATGATTTTGCCGCTGATCAAGAGATCCCCGGTGCGAGCACCATTGCCAACATACCTGTCCCATGGACAACGTGGTCCACGCATCGCCTGGACTGGCTCTCAAACATGTCACGGTGGTATGTCAACAATGAGATACAGGATGCCAAATCATACAGAGTTCCCGATTTGGAGAGCATGATTGTTATCAATCTTTGGAGTAACGGCGGACTTTGGACCGGCGACATGAGAATTGGCGATAGTATATACATGGGCATCGAATATATCGAGCTGATCTATAATCGTTCTTCCGATACTTCCAGGGGCTTTTATGTGTCTCCTTCGCAGAGCCATGGTGGCCATCAAGGGACTGCTCTCGCAAATGGTTCTCTTGTCAATGAGCATCCATTGGAGCCAGGTAGAAAGGAGGAAAAGTGCAAGCCAGGGAGACAGGGCCGCGAGTGCAGAAGAAAGAAGTGGAAGAACAGGCCTCTTAAAGAATTTTGCCAGAGGCCTTGCAACATCGATGAACTCTAGCCTGGGCTTTTCTGGCAAATCTGTTTATCATTATGAATCTTGGTCGTTCGTTTCTTGCTTTTCTTGGCATGGCTGTTCTATATTCTAGTTTTGAACGTATGAAAGCTTTATTAAAAGAAATACATCTATGCCTTGAACGTGAAAGTCGGCCCTCGTAGGTAGAAAGTGCTATCCAAGTCCTAGGTGACTCGAGTCTTATTGGAGGCCCCGGTCCTTTCTTTCAAGCTAGATATTGCATAGAGGTATTGTGAGTATCCTAGGAGATGTTTCACTTTGGGTCACTGGCCCGCTTAGATAGTTAAGGTATGTAGATGGTACCTGCTCCTCAGGAGCTGATCCCCAAGGCAGATTCATGGATGTTGCTATTAATGGATACCGATGACTTATGTATAGACAGAGGAGCAGAACGCCAACAGAATAGAGATACATGCTACAAATTTGCAGCAGAGAAAGCCGATGTTATGTGAGATAGAAGAACTCCAAGGGAAAACAAAAGGACCAAGAAGAAAAAGAAATACAACCAAATCAGTCCGTGAGAACGGGGTTCTTTGTATCAACTGAGTCACCATGATGGTGGTGACCGTGGGGTATCATTCAGATTCATTGCAAACATCACAAAGAGCGCGCCATAAGAAGATTCATTGTCCTTTTTTCGTCTATTCCGTGTGTTCGCCTTGCGCGCCGAAATATCAAATGTGTAATGGTGACCGAAAACACCTCGATGGTGGTGTTTGGTATGGATAATTGTGGGTAGGGGATTGATGAGATATGTGAGATTATGTGAAAAGGTGAATAGGGCCCAAAATTTAATGCAGAAGATCGATACAGGCAATTCTCTTGTGCTCATAGACCCGTGGGCTTTTTGTGCCCATTTAGAGCAGCACTTCACCTGTTGCTTTGTCCTGTGGATTGAACTCGCCGTGAAGACCGCCGTTCATGAGCTCAGCAACGATTTTTCTGCGGAGAAGAGTGATGTGCCTTGGACCAATGGAGGTGGGTTCTACCCCAACAGTAATGGCCTTGGCGTTTGTTAAGAGGAAGACACCACAATCACTTCCATTGTCTTGCTGAGAAGAGACCGATGGTAGGACAGTCCACTCGTCATCCTTATATTTTGGCCCGAGCTCTCCGCGAAGCCACTGTTTGACATTTTTTACCTGGCGAACACCGCGGGACCCCAGAGAGTCGAAATACTCGATTGTACGTTCTTGTGGTCGAATAACCATGAGGGTCCAATGACTTGACTCGTGAACAGGAATGAAGACTGTATCGACATCGAGCAGTCCCACACCACCGATTTTGGCGCGGTTTGCCCACCGCCGCACACCTTCATATCCCTTATCCCGAAGCGTAGAGTAGAAAAAGGTGTTGAAGGCGTGGAAGCGCGGGCGCTCGTTACGTCCGAGGTTTGCATGCGATTGACGGAGATAGTGTACTAGTAAGCCAAGGTAGGCATTGATGATTTCGTCATTGAGCCAGGCCTCAGAGCGAACACATGTGACGATATCACGCTGGTACAGATCGTCCCCGGCTAATGATTTGGCAACGGCTTGTTCTTGTCCACTCTGCAAGGCGCGTTGAAGTCTGGCAAGCCAGTCGGGCGAAATCAGACGTACGGGTTGACCTGTTGGCCCCACTCTAGTTGGACGTCGGAGATCGCGCTCGCGGGCTTTTCTTTCTTTCTCTCGCCTCTCAAATTCTGGCTCATACCACGATGCCATGCGATTGGCAGGAATTGGTCTCCTGTGGGCATAGAATAACTGTACAGCGGAGACAGGGCCATGAGGAAGATTTGCATCTTGTTGAGCTTGTTGATCCCAAGGATCATCGATGTCCATACGATCCTCTTCGGCGGGCTTGGGGGCTTCAGTTGGTCTTGGCGATGGGATGCGCCTTGCGCTCGGAAGAGGAGGGGTGTATGGCGGTAATCGAGGGTGGAGATGTATGCCGAGATCCGTAACCAGTGCTGGCGTTGCGCGAGCATCTATGTCCATGAACTCCCACCCCTTCGGCGGGACATCTTCATCTTCGATGGCGGCACCTTTTGATACAACAAGAGTAGGCGATTCAGGAGGAGTCAACGGGAAGGCTCCTGGCATGGGCAAGTGAGAATCGTGTAAGGCTAGCTTAAAGTTTAGTATGAGCGACTTTAATTTCCAAAGAGGGGCTACCGTACCATCGAAGGCGTCAAATGGAAGCTTGGAGGCCTTGAAGGGATTGAGAATATTTGGCGAGGTCTTCGTGGGCTTCGTAGGGGAGGCGCGCCGCTTGCACCGGGGCCAGCTAAAGAGTCCCATGTTAACGCGAAATGGAAGGTCACGCCGAACAAGCGGGAGCCAGGAAGTCGAGAGCGATCTACTCGTCCGATGACGCGTTGTCAAGTAGATTGACGGTAGTTGAATGGACGTTGAGGGTGCGGAAGGGGAGGAATGAACAGATAGATGAAGATGGAACTTCAGAATCCATAATTGGGCATGACTTGAATATCTATCCCGAACCCAGAACTGAAGGCAGATACTCCACAAAGGAAGAGGTATGGGAACAATATGAGCCGGCGCAGTGCTCGGGCTCTTTCATCATTCTGCTGACTCATCACATATCCCCCCAGCCTCCATTGTTGACCTACTTCGTCCAAGGGTATGCACACATTGTCACTCTTTGTTTGCCGATCTTTCTTGAGAGCAATTTCTTTGGTCTTTGTGCTTATATTCTGGTCTCGTGTGCTTTGATCTTTCAGCTAGTAATCGTCTTGTGGCGGGCTCTCTAAACAGAACTTCAAGGAGAAAGCTGCGATTGTAGTTGTTTACTCGATTGCGCTTTGTTCTTGTGTCTTTTGCATCTTATGTCATGGTTTGGCAGCTACCTAGGTACCTAATCTATACCCTTTTTCGGCAGGTTGTCTGCCAGACCCAAGAATGCATCTATAAATATTGCCTTCAATGCTTATGTACATGGACAGCGTAAAGAATATTTCTGGGGTAACCTGTTCCAGCGCAGCCCGCTGGGCTAGGAGCAGGTCAAGGAATTGGTGGTGGTAAGAAGCGAGGGACTGCAAGGTGAATTGCAGTCTTATCAATACCTTTCTCATCTTCATAATCGGGTACTAAGTCCAATCATGTCAAATAACAGGGGTGCGACTTCGATGACCATCCATGGAATACCTAAATGAGACTGAGATCAGCAACGAGTATATCAAAATCCAGGGGCTCCACATACCCGCATATACAACCATCTTCGTCACTACCTCTACGTCGTAACGCACGCGGGGCTTCTTGATCTGAGAGAACACTTCTTTTTCATCACGCTCCCGCTCAGTATCTAACGAAGGAAATGGTGTTGTTGGCATGTCGAGATTCACATCTACTGCAGATGAAGTGGGGCTTCCTCTTCCCATCATGCCTTCGTAATCGTCCAGTGACACCGACTTTCTAGGCGTTCCGTTGGACTTGACCTGACCCTCTGCTACTGGAGATGGACGATTGCTCCCAGATTGACTTTCGCGTCGGCGCTTTTCGCGGTATGCCAGGGTCTCATACGCATCAGCTTCCGACTGAGGGCCAATTGAAATGGCTCGGCGGCGAGGATGGCGCATTGTGGTGATGATGTTTGGGATATCAGAGATATCTGGAAGAACGTCATGATCCTTTAGATTAGTGGGGACGGTAGTGTATTTACTGACAGATCAGGTCAGCGTAATATTCACAAACACAATGCAAAATTAGACCTCTGGACTTACGATGCTGCAGTGAAGAAACGTCGAGGGAGCAAAAGACCGAGCTTCTCCAGTGTCCGGAAGATAGGTGGGAGGATGCGTAGCAAAGCGGGCTTTGTTACTGCTCTCCAAGCGAACACGCACAAAACGCCCACGACCAGACGAACAATTGTCTTAATCCAGCCGACGGTCTCGAGGTCATATGGAATTGATCCAGAAGGATAACCGACCCACATATCGGCGAAGTGCCATGAACACACATCCACACCTAGCATGACACCTGCGAATGCAACGCTATCGTCGAAGCATGGGCAATCATCAGCCGGCTCCGGATGGATGCGAACGAGAGATATAATAACAAGACCCAGCACGGATATTTCCTTTAGCGAGGCGGATAAAATGAATTCCTCAAAGGCAGGTCCATAATGAAATTGTACGAGACCAATGGCCGCACCCATAGCACACCCAACGGTACAGTCCAGCATCCCGTGCATTCCGCAATACAGTCGACCCAATACAATGGACACGACGTAGATATAGGTGACAGCTTGGAGTAAAAGGGTCACTTGCACGCTGAGAGTTGAATCGGGTGAACCAAGCAGGGCCAAAGCATAGACCGCGACCGAGACTGCGTTGGTGGAGTGTGTCGAGGGGAACCCATATTCCAGTGCCGCAGATCCGGACATGGTAATTCGCTGGAGTGGCGGAGAAAGAGGGCGAGGAAGACATAGCAGGTCCTTGAGGAAGCCGCTCCAAAAGACGCCCGATGCTAATATGTGTACCAATCTGTAGATAATTGTCAGTCCCAAACGTCCACCAATTTTGGAAACGAAGCGTACGCGCGACCCATGCTGGGAGAACCACACCAGAAGAGGAATGGCAAGAAGACCATGAAGAAGGTATGTGTGCCGAGGTTGGCTGTGAAAGCGAAATAGGAGTCGAGAGTTGGCGTGCGGACTTTCTCCTGCACCCAAGCCAGATATGGCGTCTCATATCGGATCAGTGGGATAAGCTTTTGTCGCGGCCAGTACCGCCAGAGGGGCAATCGGCTCGAATCTATGTCGCAAAAGCATGGCGGTTAGAGGACATCGCGATAAGCCGCAGGTGGACAAAAAACAGAGGCCAATTGCATACAATGGTTCAGACTCTTCAAGCCAGCATCGAGCTGGTCGTCTTTGCTCGTGCTCATGATGTAGTGTTATCGATCTAGAAAGTGTCGCAATCGGATGGATTCCATAGATAGACAGGCTGCTGCCTGCCGGTCCGCCTGAGTGGTTGAAGGTTATAGGGTTCAGAGCATAAGGAGCGGATTGAAGTTGGATTGAAGCAAATGATATGATTGAGAACCTCTTCGGAATCTCCAAAGTTGACGGGGAAGATCCGAGGCTCAAACCCCCTAATGCCTGGGGCCCACCATGTGTGTGCTTAGTCACGGTCATGGATGGCCCCCGGGGTCAGGAGCGGCTAAGTCAGCGGCTTACCTCAATAAAATGCACCACGCTAGAGTCTTCTAACAGTTGTTCACCAGAACTTTTGACCATTATTGTCTCCTTAATGAAAGGTTAACGTTATCAACTCGGCGGTCGATCCTAATCGTATCGCCTCTAGCTGAGAGGTAACTTTATAGTGGGGCTATCTTTATTAGTCTTACTACTACTCATGCTTGAACAAGCTCCAGTGTCCACTTAAAGCACTGCAAATAGATATTGCCAGCCGACGGGACCTTCCATACCATAGCACTGGGTACATTAACTTGCAAGTTCTTTAGGTCAAGATAAACCAGAAAATAAACAACACTTCCAACAGCGGGAAATACACATTGAATCATCCCAGCAGTGGAAATTGCAACGTTGTAATAGTCGTTGGCCACGCCATTCCGATGTATACTACCTACACTCCAAAGTTAGCAGACAAAGAGCCGCAAGCGAGCGACGGATCGCAGGGCACAGCAAAACTAGCACAGAAAAGGTCAAGCGATACCTAGTCTCGAATAGACCTCCGCAAATCCCATTCAGCCCAAAGCTCAGCCCAGTCCAACCCGCAAATGGGTTGGGTTTTGGGCCCCAGACAGTACAAATTTACCGAGAATTTGGATACCAACACAAGCTGAACCCCCCCCAGGATTAATCAGACTACTCTGGTTTGCGTCCATTTCTTACCCTAATCCTCAAGGTAGTATTATACTAAATTGAATGATTTACTCATTCACTAGCATTCTCTCTATATTCCGTAAAAGGATATAAAGAAAAGCGTTCATCGAAAGAAGTTCAATTACAGGGATTAAGTACTTCTAGAAAGTGGTAGCGTTTCCCTATAAAGTCCAATTATGTATCTGATATCAAAATATCAATTTTCACCTTTTCAGTTATGTTTCACTCGAACCAATCGTATTTTGTTCAAATTTTATATATATACTTATAACATCATCTTTATTTCGAACTGCAAAATCCCATGTATAAGAGAATCTCGACATATCCAAGTGAAGCCAAAAAGCATATAAGCGAGCTGAGTGCATGGGCCGCAAAATATCAAGCAACGTTATCTCGATCTAAATATGACGGTGGGTTTCGCAATTTGCTGTGAAAGATGTTCTATACCACACTCTACCATTGCGTACAGATGTACCTTTTCAATCATATACTGGCATTTACAATCTTTCCATTCAAGCATTGAGAATATATATTCTATGTAGTTCATAATGATACATGGAAAACCAAGTGAGGGATATTCTTGAGATCTACAGTCACATGACCCCATCGGGTAAAGTGTACACAGACAAGAGAAAAAAAGAGAGAGCTGAACGGTGGGGTATACGAATATTATTAGCGGAGCCCAGACCAAAACAAGATAAACCAGGAACAAAATCTACGATATCAAGGTCTTTGATCGTGGGGAGCGGAGCCCTGGCGTCATAGAGGCACGGCCGTTGCTATGGTAGCCACCGGTGTAAACACGGGTCTCACGGGTCTCACGGGTCTCGCCAGATCCTCTTGCTCTATCGATCCTCTAGATCCTTTTTGAGATCTATCTTCTCCTTCTTTCTTCAAATTTTTCCCACACACCCTATCAGACTCATCACCCGTTCACCCCCTGTATCACATTACAAACGAGCGACATTCCAACCCCCCCTGCTCACCATGAGTGCCATGTACGAAGATCAACACTATGCAGCATCGCGCCGCCGTTCTCTCGCCACCCCTCCTCCATCTCTGACACCGCGTCACAGTCGAGCGCGCAGTGACAGTGTCCGAGTCAGCCACGGCACAGCCAGCACCACTACCAGTGTCTCCAGTGGACGGATGTCTGAGGCAACTAATATCACTCAGCCGCCCTCATTCTCAAAAAAGTTTGTAGTGGTAGGCGATGGCGGATGTGGCAAGACCTGTTTATTGATCAGTTATTCCCAAGGTTACTTCCCAGAGGTACGTTCAAGCCTGCTAGGAAAGATGGATTCCTGCTAATTGTCCTCGAGAAATATGTCCCCACCGTGTTCGAGAACTATATCACCCAAACAACGCATCGGGCTTCTGGCAAGACCGTGGAATTAGCGCTCTGGGATACTGCTGGACAGGAAGAATATGACCG